AGCATCTGAATGTTTAAAAGAGAGGAAGAATGCAAACCTTTTACAAACAAGTTTGCGCTGCATGATACTGAACCAGCTACATTGGAGACTTTGCAGGTGTATCTTCCCGAGTCTGTTGGTTTGACTGCGTAAAGTTCCAAGTAACTTGCTAACGCTTCTGTCATGATGTAGCAGGCTCCTCCTGTCACCAGCTCAGTATCACCTTTAAACCATTTCACCGTCAGTGGTGTTGTGCCTTTAAATGTGCCTTTGAAACGTACAGTTGATGCAGGCAGTACATCCTGGGACTCTGGTTCTACAATGAAGCTGGGTGGTTCTAGATTTTGTTGAAAGGAAACAAATGTCAAGAGTGAGACACATGGCCTGCACTTTGGGAAGAAAAGTATTATCAGATGAAAAATAAAATTCCAAGAAATTTTAAACAAATTGCCAAACCTTTTATAAACAAAGTGCTACTGCTCTCTTTGCTACCAGCAGAATTTGTGGCTCTGCAAATGTAGACCCCAGCATCACTTGCATCTAGGTGTTTTATTTCCAAAGATGCAGAGCCTTCTGCAAAGTGTACTGTGTACTTGGCACTTGAAGTGATCTCAGTGTCCTGCTTAAACCAAGAGACAGTCATTGGAAGAGAGCCTGAAATTTTGCAGTCTAGGCGGCATGACGTGCTAATGATGCTGTCAATATTCTTCAGGGGCTTAGTGAAGAAGGGAGGGAGAGTGCGATCTGTTGAGAGTAAAATATATGAAAGAAACAAACAAATGAGAAAACCAGGCATGCCTCTGTGCTTCTGGCTCTGTTGGGCTCAGAGCAGAGTAGCAGGGCAGTTTGCAAGGAGTCAGTACCAACCTAGCACTGTGAAGCTGGTAGTACAAGAGCTGATGCCCACATCATTGGATATCTCAAAGGTGTACTCGCCACTGTCCTGCAGTTCAGCAGCATAAAACTTGAGCTGGGCAATGTTATTTTTAAAGCTGATCCTATATTTTTTGCTGGCAGGTAGTGGTCTTCCATCTTTGAACCATTTGGTTTTTAGCTCTGGAGTGCCTGCGACAGTGTACTCCAAAATGGCTGGTTCCCCTGCTGTTACCTGGATCATTTCAGATTTTTCAATGATTTTGGCAGGTTCTACAACAGAATTAAATAACTGATGTTAAGGACAAAAGGAACTTGCTCTTCTCACGTGGGAGACAATGCGGGGATCACAGTGCTACTCCACTGACCTTTCACTGATAGTTCACCAAAGCAGGACTGAGTTCCTGCATCATTCTCAGCCACACAGGTGTACTTCCCACCAGAGCTCAGCTGGACACCGGTAATTTGCAGTGTTGCTAGACCGTGTTCAAATGTCACTCTCACTTTGTTATCATCTTGCATAATGTCTTTGCCCTTCATCCACACCACAGAAATAGGCTCTGACCCTTTCACCACAGCCTGTAACGTAATACTATCTCCAGTCAGAGCTGTCACATTTTCGATTTTCTTAACAAAAGATGGTGGTTCTAGTTCAAAGAAAAGAAACAAGAAGAAATACTCATCTTCTACCACATCATCCCATGGAATCCACTGCTTAAAGACGATTATATGAGACAGTATGTGAAGTACATGGTGCAATTCATCTGAAGAGCAGGCAAGAAAAGAGCTGCATTCCCCCACTGGGGACCCCTTTAAGCTCAATTCAAATTCACAGGTTTGGCGCCACGTAAGATATACACAGAATTTTAAGAGAAGAAGATACTCTCCCCTCCCCACTCTTCCTAGCAACCCACAAATCCAAAGAAAAGACATTTTAAGAAATGAGAGGTTCTTGCCAACCCCTTCAGTAAGTGGAGTTTTCTCTCTCCCACTGACCTTTCAAGATGTATGTTGCACTGCATATGCACTTCCCGACTTCATTAGCTATCACACACTCGTATTCACCGACATCCGCACTATTAAATGAGGACACCTCCAGAGAAATTACAGCTTTCTGAGAGGTCAACCTGTATTTTTTACTACTGCGGATCTGTTTCTTGTCTTTGTACCAGCTAATCTCAAATGGTCCAGTACCAGCAACCTCACACTGAAGAACGGGGTTTGTTCCCTTCACTATCTCTGCTGGTTCAAGTGTTCGGATGAAAGATGGAGGCTCTATAAAAGCAGCGAGAAAGAATTAGTCAACCATGCCAAAAATAAAAAGAAAGAGAAGTCTTTTTCTCAAGAATGTGGCTGGCAGCAGCAAGAAGAACAGACCTTTGACAACTACTTCGGTGGTGCAGCTGTCACTTCCAACCTCATTTACAGCTTCGCATGAGTAGCTCCCACTGTCATCAACTTTCATCTCCAAAATATCTAACACAGCCACAGAATTGACAAAGGACATCCTGTGTGTGTTGCTTTCACGGATTTCCTTGTTGTTCTTGAACCAAGTAACCTGTATTTCAGGAGACCCTTTGATTTTGCATTGAAGGCGTGCAGAGTCACCCGGAGTCAGTAAATAAGATGGATCGACCTTCTTCACAAAGGATGGTGGTTCTAAAAATGGGAAGAAAAAGAAAGGAGGAAAAATGGGAAGGAAAGGGGTAAGAAAGGCAAAGGAAAGTAGAAGGAAAGGGAAAAGGAAAGGAGAGGGAAAAGGAAAAGAGAAAAAAGAAAGAAGGCTGAAACACAAAGGTTTGAAAGATTGGTTCCTAGCGCAAGAACAAAACGTGACTTCAGAAAAAAATCAGCATTTTTACTGAAGCTGCAGTTATTGTGGTTTCTTCTGCCATCTCTGCCCTGCATATAGGAGCAATTCCTGGATCTGGCTGGTGAAAGAAATATTGAAGCACCACACAGTGCACTGGGAGGCAGCAAGGGGAATGAGCAAGAGGTGAATGGACCTGATGGCAGGTCTGAGAAGAGTTCACAGTGTGATTTCTGCCCAAAGAAGCCTGAAAAAGAAGAAATAGGGAACCCAAGAATAGAAAAGTAAAGGGGGCATAGGACTATCTTACCTCTCACTGTGACGCTGGCCGAAGAGGAGCTGCTTCCTGCCTCGTTTGAAGCAGTGCACACATAATGGCCTGAATCCTTGAGCTTAGCCAAAGGAATCTCAAGTGAGGCTATTTTGTCTTCAAAGTAAATCTTATAATCTTTGCCTGAGGGAATTTTGTTTCCATCCTTTGTCCACCCTACTGTTACTTTCCTGTCTTCATCTACCTGACATTCAAGACGTATTTTTTTATTGACTGCTGACTGCACTGACTGCAACACTTTAATGAAGTGAGGCTTGTCTATAATGATCAATTCAGCCTGGCAAATGTCAGCCCCAAACTTGTTGGAAGCTTTGCAAGTGTAAACCCCTCTGTCACTGGCAGTGAGAAGGGAAATTTCTAACACATGTTTATTTTCCACTTTGGAGATTCTGTGACGGTCTGAAGGTGAAATGGTCGTGCCATCTTTCTGCCAAGCGACGTCGATGACTGGAGTGCCCAAAACAGTACACAGGAGCTTGGCACTTTTGCCCACAAAAGTAGTGATAGACTCAGGTCTGGTAAGAAACGTTGGTGGTAACGCTTCTGCAAAACAAAGGAGTTCAATGTTATCCAGAGGTGAGGGCCAGAGCTTATACTTTTTCTTTACAATTGCCAGGGACAGAGAGTATGAGGGGCCAGATAGTCACTGGATACTCTTAAGCAAAAGAATCCAGCAGTGAAGAAGTAAGAGGTATGAAAGATGACGAATTTTGGGTTTGTACTTCTTGGGTCTGTATATTGCTTCAGAGCTTGAAGGCATTTTGTGTCTCTGGAGTAATGTACAGACTAAAGGGAAATAAACCAAAAGCCAGAACTTCCCCCACACCAAGACTGACATGTTTGTGCACCATTCCCTCAAGATGGACAAGTTTGCATGCATTTCACAGTTTGTGCATTTTTCTTTTGCCTCTAGCATCTGGCACTTGGCAAAGACCACATAAAGACTCCTCCCATAAAGAGAAAATTCAGTGTAAAACCAAAATCATCATACGCTAAGAGCCCTAAAGGTGGTGTTTTGGATTAAAAAAAAAAAAAAAGATGATAATTGTATAGCTTTCAATAGACAAAAAGTTCGAAAACTGAAACAGCTTTAAACCATCTCATAGTCTTTAAGAGCTATTTCCCCAGTCACACACAGGTCCCCTTTGGCCATGGCACACAGAAGTTCAGGTATGTGTAGCTGCATAGCCTGCATTGCAAGTATAGCTGCGGGATAAACATAGGGTGCTAAGATAATTGTACAGTTATTATACCAAAGAAATCAGATTTAAAAGTGTATGTTTTCTTGTCATCTGGAAGTCAAATAAACTTTCTTCAAGAACGTATTCATAAAGCAATCCCATTCTGTTTACAATCTAGTTCCTCCCACTCTCTCTCTCCCTCTTCTTTCTTGCCTTCTGAATCTTCTGTTTTCTAGGTACGGAAAGTACCTAAAAGCAGCATTTTCAAAAATTATTCCTTCTTTATGCTTATGCCTGCCAAAATTAGGTATGGATTATGTATGACAATGGCAATCAAGAGCCCTACTGTAAACATGTATAAGCATAGCAATGAAAGCATTACAATATACCAAGATATTTTATGGAGAAGAAGTCCTTGAAAGTGTGTACTTACCACTCACTGTTAAAAGGGCTGTAGAGCTTACACTGCCATGCTGGTTGGAAGCCTTACAGCTATACTCTCCACAGTCAACAACCTGAGGCCTCAGGATCTCAAGTGTGGAGAGGTAGTTGGAGGTGCGAATGGAGTATTTGTCCCCATCATATATCTCTCGGCCGGCTTTGTACCACTGGAACGTGACATTGGGCGCAGTCTCTACCTCGCAGGTAAACTTGGCCACGTGATTTACAGCCACCTCCACTGGTGTGAGCCTTCTCCTCAGGATCGGTGCAACTGCAATCAGAAGCAGAGAGTAACTCAAAGCCCTGCCTGTGACATTCTGGAAAGTAACAGTAAAGTGACTGACTGGGAAGAAAAAAAAAAAAAAGGTGATTTACTTGCAATCTGCATAACGTGACCGTAAAAGAAAAAAAGAAATAAAAGCAGTACCAGGCTCAGTGGACAGATGGCGTTATGGCATATAGTGACATCAGGAAACAGTGGTGATACTGAAAAAATGACATGCAATAGTGAAAACAACACAATACAAACATTCACCACACTATCCTGGAGCTGTAAGAAATTATGGATTGAATGAGAAATTATGCTGAAACTGTGCAACGACCACGGAGGGTGAGAGAGGGTGCAGCAGTGAGAAAGGAAGAGCAGGTCCAGTTCACAGGCAACAATGGGAGAAGTGGTCGTGATCGAGGTACGGCTTGTCCTGACTGTGCTTGTGTCATGAGAACAGGAAGCAACAAAGTTCCTGACCAAAGACTGGGGTGAGGGAAGTGAGAGACTGCAATCTGGTAGAAGGAAACCATAAATCCAGAGAGAAAGGGAGCCCTCTGATTAGCGGCATGGTGATATTAATGTTATATCTGTATCCAAAGATAGAGACACAGGGCAGTTTCATTAGTAGAGCAATGTATTAGAAAGACAGTAATTTATCCCCATAATCCAACCTCTTTTAACAACTGTGAGTTTTGCTGCTGTTGCTCTTTTTCCACCTTGATTCACCGCCTCACAGGTGTATTCTCCTTGGTGAGTATCACTGCACGCTTTGCTTATTACTAGTGTGTATGTGTCCTGATCTTGTAAACACTTGAATTTGTCACCTGAAGACACCAGTTTACCCTCAAAGTACCAGTTCACCTCCCTGACATTTGTTATGACAGACACCAAACTGACACTCTCTCCTTCCTCCACAACCGTGTTGACCAGGTTGCTGTGTATGATGGGACAACTCTCTTTGACAAGCTCATCCTCTAGCTTCACAGTGTTAGCTTCTAAAACCTTTCTGCTCTCTTCCTCACATATTTCTTCCCTTTTTTCCTTCTCTTTCAATATTTCTGTGGGTGTCTCAAGGGGAACACCCACAGAGGCTACATCAGCAGTGGCTGCAGCTGAGCCCACATCCTTGATTTGACTATGCCCAGTCACAGTGTTGATTACTTCTGCAAACAAAGGCTGCTCCAGGGGTATTTCTGCCTCCATAGTCGTCTCAGCCTGCTGGGACTCCAGCTTCGAGGTTTTGTCACAGGATTTTCCTTCTTTGACAAGACTGACAACATGTTCCTCCTCCAGGAGCTGTTTTTCTTCTAGCAGCAAAGGAAATCTCACAGCCTGTCCCTCATGGATTCTTGCAGCAAAGTCTTCCTCTGCTGCTTCCAGGGAAGAAACGGTCTCCAGAGGAACAGCTTGACCCCCAGTGAACGCCAGTTCAGAGGCGAGTCTAGGTTCAGCCTTTGGCTTACCCTGCATTGCCTGCAAGCCCTCAAGGACCTGCATATGGTCACCATCTATGGCACGGCTCTCAGTGGTGCTTGACACCTGTAGAAGAGCTTGGGAAGCCTCGGTCTTCAGAGCAGCCATTTGCTCTGCTGTCTCAGGGATGACCTCCTCTTTGGGCAAGAGTATCTGTGCAGCTACAGTCCCAAGGCAGCCTGGCAGTCGTGTCTCCATAGCTGCTGCAGGCACCACACCCTGGGGGCCAGCAGGGAGGGTTTCCAGCGGCTCTGCGAGAAGCTTGACACTCTCTTGTGTTGTGGCTGCCTGGGTGAGCATCTCTTCAACACTCTGTGCAGCCAGGCAGGCTGGTGGCAGGCTGGGCAAGATATCCTCCCTGGGCAGCATGTGCTCCTCCTGGCTCATCTGGAGCTGAAGGAGGGCCAGGGGCTCCTTCATGGCCTCAAGTCTCAGTGCTCCTTCTGCAGCAGGAAGCTCACCAGCCTCCTCATAAGAGAGGGGACTCTGGTCTTCCGCCACTGCAGAGTGCTTCAAGGCTGGGCTTTGCCTGCGAACAGCATGCTCCTCAGGCAGCACAAGGAGCTCAGCAGAGCATATGGCCTCGCCCAGGGCACTCACTGCCTTGCACGTGTAAAGCCCAGTGTCCTCCTCCATGCACTCCTGCACTATCAGGGAGCCTGAGCCATCAGGGTGGTGAGCAACAGAACGACGTGCATCAGGGAAAAGCTGTTCAGTCCCCTTGAACCACAGCACATCAGGGCATGGCTCCCCAGCCACAGTGTACTCAAAGACTGCAGTGAATCCCCGTGCACACCGCATGCTGTCTGGCTTCCTGGTAAAGCAAGGGACCCCTGGTATCCGCTGACGCACATGGAGGTGGGCACTGCATGTGGTCTCACCATGTTCATTGCTGGCCACACATGTGTACTCACCCTCATCCTGCACACCTGCATATGGGAGGATGAGGCTGTGGTCGTTGCCAGCAAACACTACCTTACACTCTGTAGATGAAGCTAACTTCATACTGTTGAAAAACCACTGGACTTTGGGTGTGGGGCTGCCAGTAACAGTAACAGAAAGCCTAGCTACATCTCCCTGCCAGACTTCAACATTTGAGACCTGTTTTAGGAAAACAGGGGCTTGGCCTGCCTCCATTTTCATCTTTGCTTTGCTGGAATAAACTGTTTTTTCAGGCTCAAATTCAAGTGTTTTTTCTTTATCAGGCAACTGAAGGCCACTGCTGTAGCCTTCACTTCTTCCTTCCTCAGAAGACACAGGAAGAGAGCTAGCGATGTCTGTATGGAAAAAAAGTGTTGAGTTTTACTAGAATGTTTAAGAAAACACAACTAGATAGCAATAAACAGTAGTTAACAATGAACATGAGGTCCTGTTGCTGTCAAATACACACCTGCCAAAACCAGCAAGACATGCTGTGCTGTCAGGTTACTTATGAACTTCCTATCTGGATCAACATGGATGTCTCTTTAAAAACCTAACACCATAGCATGGTTTAGGCATGCCCCCAGGGTGTACAGTGCAAGTAACAGTCAAGCAAGATTACTCCATTTCACAAATATAATTGAAGTGGTATATGCCATACATATTTGTATGTATGCTCATACAAACAAGTACAGCAGAGCAGTGATAATACTCTGGTTTAATTCAAAACCTGCAAAGAAAAAGCAGAATGACAGGACTAGAAAAATAACACAAAATTTGCAGTGCACCAGTCCTTCTTCTAGAGCACTTTATGAATCTCTTTCAACTTGATCTATGTCTAACACACTAAGATATTACCTCTCCCTTACTAACTTTGTCCTAGTTTTGTCATTAGACCCTTATGCTTACAACATCATTATTATTGAAACTGCAAGTTTGCACCCTTGATTTTATGTTACTGATTCAAATCTCTGGTTTTAAATTCCTCCCTGTCATAATGCTAAATATTAAAACTCCTACAATATCAGAGAAAAGAAGACAGAACACTTTAAGGTTTTTCTTTTCCTTGCCTCTGTGAATTTAGCCATTTTTGTGTTGGACCACTTTGTTCTAATAGTTGTTTAAAAATTAGAAGAAACAGACATCAAGAACATGTCATTCTCTGGAGATGCTTGACACTAGAAACAGTGAAATCTGAGACTTCCAGGAGAGGAACTAGCCATCCATGAAAACCACAGCACAAAAAAAAAAAATCCTTTGGAAATCAAATCCTATTGTCCTCACTGAGTCAAATTTGGTCAGGTAAGGCCCACAGTATTTGACACTGGGAAGGTATAAGAGTTGTTAAAAAAGAATAGAAAAAATGTGAGTGGATAGATGTCTCCAGGTGAACCTTGAAATGTTTCTCAATTACAGTGCCTTAAGTTCCAAAACTTACTGTGAGATAATTTTTGCTGCACTCCAATAACAACTATAAAGAACAGAATATGCCTTACCCGATTCTTTCTCACTGGTTTTATCAATGACTAATCTTGCCACAGATAGATACCATAATAAACATGACATAGCACCATGCGTACAGCAATTAACTGCAGAGAAGAGATGCTTAGGTAAAAAAAGAGATTACACCAGTCCTTCAGATTGACCTTTGTTAAAAGAGTAGGGCTTTGTCAAGAGTAGCTTTGTTGAAAGAATAAGGCAGTTTCCCCAGAAATACAATATGCTAGTGAATTTGAGAATGGGTGGCCATGATAAAGTATAATAATTGCAGAATGGAACCTATGTTAACACACATGAGAATGCATTATATACAACAGTTTGGCAGAAATTAATGCACTTCTTTGTGTTCCTGAATATTTATGACAGAAAAACTATACAGATTCTTTTTCATATTTTAGCTGTGTCAATGAAATGAATAAAGTACAAGAAGCAGCAGGCTTAAATCATTTGCATATTTATTTCACAAATTAACCATACATGTTAACATTCAATACACATTGAAAACAAACAAACATAATTCATCCTTTTTTTTAATTACTCAGTTTGTAGAAATGAAGACAACATTAAAACTGACAATGAAATTGTGAGATTTATAATTCCTATAAAAGCACAAGAGAGATGGTCAATCATGGCTCTGAAGTCTACCAGTTGCCCCAGGGTAAGTTTATCCAAAGCTAGAATTACTCTGGATTTATATCATTGTAGTTAGGTGACACTTTCTCCATAAGCACATTATAGTGCTCCTGGCTAATGTAAGAAGCTTAAAATAAGACTTTAAACTTACATAAACCACAAACACTACTCTGCAGGTAGAGATAAAAATGCTTGGCCATATATTTCAGATGTGAATATGAACTTGGACCTGTTTGGCTTAGGGCTCCAAAACAAGTTATGGGCCTGTTTCTACTAAAAATTGCATTTCATTTACATGCAAATTAAACACACATGCTTAGGACCTAATCAAAGACCTGATTTGGCTCTGGACATAAAAGACTTCTCATGTTACAGCTGACGTAACATCAGACAATTCATGCCAGCTTCCCTAGGGACCTCTGCAGTCTAATGAATCAGTTTGTGCTACACATCTACACAAGAAATGGATTAATGACACATCCTGAAGCAATGCTTTCCCAACATGATGTTGCATCAGACACTCATGCTTCTCTTTCCTACCACCATTACCTATGAGAAATAATAATTATCTCTGCTTTTTAACAATATACAGATCTTAAATGTTTATCATGGGGTGTGACTGGCAAGAAACAGAAGTGATAGATTGGTATTAGCCTGACAACTCCAGTCATTTTTCCTACATCCTGGGTCACTGGAACTTGCCACTCTTGACTTGAAGTTTATCCTGGGAAACACATTTTGGCAAAGTGACTCTTTTGTCAAAAATTGCTATGCCAAGTGAATGACAGGTGAATGAAAAGATTATTGAGTTTTTGAGGCATACTGATCTCAGTGTGAGGACACATCAAACTCAGAAATAAGAACATGCAAGAACATTACTGAATGTACTACAGGAATAGTTCTTTTATACTTGCTCCTTGTTTCATAAATCACTATGCTCCTTAAAGCACTTTGCAAGGCAGCTGATTGACAGCAACTCATAAATAATTGGAAGAACTTTATAAACAAGTAATTAAAGTAAAAATATTTTTTGCTTAGGGTTGTTGAACTCAAGGTTTCACCTTGGCATATATGTAACTGGAAGGATGGCACATACATTAGAGAGTTATTTCACTTCTGAGAAGCATTAATAACTTTTGTACTTTTAACATATTTTTCTTAATTATTGTTATATAAGATAGATTTAGTTCTGATTTATTATGTCAGCTATTGCTGATTCCTCCTCTTACATGTTAGCATCATTTAAATATGAAAATATATACTCACATTGAGAACATTAATATAAAAATCTCTTCTGCTGAGAAAATGCTACAGATAACAATTGAATATATTCTACTTCTTTCTGATCATCTTGACACATAGCACACTTAACTGTTACTAATTAAAAAAAGAAAAAAAAAGAAAAAAGGAGTATGTAGAAATTCCTTTCTAATGTGAAACAAGAATGTTGCATAAAAATCTCTCACTTTTTTACTACTACGTATTTTTTATGAACGACACTGGAATATGGGGACAACCAAAGTTATTTTAATTCATTTACAGTTAAATCATTGATTTATTATGCTCCCTATCCTTTTCCCTTAACTTCTACAGATACAGTACAAAATATGTTTTCATGTTTATTACTTGGTAATAGAGAAAAAAAATCCTGTCCAGTCTCTACTAATGCAAAAGTTCTATTTTCTTCCCACTGTGTTGCTTTTCTTTGCAACAGCATAATTCCATTGACTTTAAAAAAAAGTCATTTCTTTCCGTGAGTCAGTAGAATGTGACCCACAAATGTAAGAATTTTGCAGTGATAGAAACTGTAAACATAGGATTTGACTCAGTGAGACTCACATATTCTGACACAATATTGTGAGAAGGGGGAATACCAGTTTAAGGAGTTCTTTCACAGAACTATATCCAAACTAAAGAGCAAGCATAAGTTAGTATTCCATACCTTTAGGTTACAAGAAAAAAGTGATTTCTACATTTTCAGGGGATTTCTAGCCTACCTAAATCAATAATGACTGTTACGGACACACAGGATTATGTACACAATACAAAAAAAAATTAGTCCTACATAAATGAGTGTCAATTACAATGTCTTTACAAGAATGAATAAGGAGCTTGGAAGGAGCCTGAAATATACCTTGGTGCAGAAAGTGTGCACAAAACCTATGCACATATTAAATCTCACTTAAATTCCCCAAGAAAAGCAAGTTTAAATGAGATAGAAATATGTCCACATAGAGTGGTTTTCATCCCTAAAGAGATGAAAAACAATGCCCCTAATATGAGTGCTGCATTTTTACCAGCAGCGAACAACAGCATAAAAACATTTAGTGTTTCAAAAGAGACTCAAATAAATTATGGGATATCAGTATAATGTTAACACAGCACAGGTCTCAGCCGTTCCTGCTGTATTAGTGGCTACACATTTGTACTGCCCACTGTCACTTTGCATCAAGTTTTCAATAGTAAGGCTATGAGAGCCCGCCTCCTCTTCCTGCACACAGTACCTGTCCCCTTCCAATAACACCCCATCCTTGTACCAGTGGACAGTTGGGTCGGGGGAACCAGTCACAAGACACTGGAAGCATGCTGAGGCACCTAGAAATGTACTGTAGTCAGAAATGAGCTTCAGAAATGTGGGAGCAGCTTCTGTGACCTGGAACTCAAAGCTGCAGCCCTCAGAGTCCTCTGCCTTAAACTCAACCAGTTCCTCTTGGGATGTTTCTGCAAATACGTCAAAACTAACGCTGACACACTTCTCCCCTTCTACTTCCTGCTCTTGTTGAGCCACTGAAAGCAGTTGAATTGCTTTCTCTGAATCATCTATATGCAGCTCGAACTCAGACTGCAGCTCTGTTGCTGACTGGTGACCTGGACTCACAGTCTTGCACAAAAACAAGTCAGACTTCTGGGATCTGTGTTGTTCATTGCCCGTGATTGTCTCACTGCTCACGTTAGCACTTGCTCCCTGCTGAGCCACGACTATGAGGGAGCCTTTACACGTTGCTTCTCCCAACCTATTCATTGCCCGACAGTGATACCAGCCGCTATCAGAAGGACCTACTTTTTGGACCTTCAGACTGTGAAGTCCCTCCTTCTGAATCACAACATACTTCCCTGTCACAGGTGTGACACAGATGTCACCTCTGAACCACTGCACTACTGGGACAGGAGTACCTGTTACCACGCACTCAAACACTGCCTCCAAGCCTTCTGTCACCTTGACATCTGAAAAGGGCACAGCAAATCGGGGAGGCATTTCAGTAACTTGGAAATCAATTTTTATATCCTCATTCTCTGCAGCCAAGCCTGCAGCTTGCTCCAACAAGGCAAGTGGAAGGACATCCAGGGAAACAACCATGCTCTTCTTATCTGGGCTAAACTCAGGGCTGGTTATGATTTTGACCTGCTTCTCAAACTCCTTTACCTCATTTTCATCCAGCTCCACTTCCAGGAGGATTTCCTGTGGTGAAGGTGACCTTGAAGACGTATTTTGCTCCAGATCAAAGTGTATTACATGCTGGTGAGTGACAGGGGGTGGCAGTGCTAGTGACCGCCCATCTTCAGACAAAACTTCCACATGAACGATGCTTTTAGCTTCCCCAACAATGTTCACTGCATGGCACATATACTGTCCTCCATCAGCTTTCTGCACATTAGTGATCTCCAGCACACACTTATCCCCATCCTTCTCTATCCGCATTCTCTCATCCAGCTCCAACAGAGATTTATTATGATACCACTTCACTCCTGGCTTGGGCACACCCACCACCTTTGCTGCAAACCTCAGTGTGCTGCCCTCATACAGCCTCTTCCTGCTCAATGCCTTGAGGAATGCAGGTGGCATCTGCCTGCCTGATGGCTCTAGTGCTTCACAGGGGGTCCCAAATACCTCAGCTTGTGGCTGGTCTGAAGGCTGCTGCCTTCTCTCACAGAGGGAGAGCATGGCCAGGGCGTCCATATACTCCCCAGTGGGTGTCCAGTAGCGCTCTGGTGGCGTGCTGTCCCCTGCTGCAGCGCAGGGTCCCCCAAAGGGTGTGAAGTAGGGCTCTGAGGGTGTGTTGCATTTGGAACCCTCGAAGGGTGTGGAGTAGCGCTCTGGTGGGATGCTGTACACTAAGCCCTCTTCAGGTGGTGTGGAGTAACGCTCGGGTGGCATGCTGTACTCTGAGCCCTCTTCAGATGGTGTGGAGTAGCGCTCCGGTGGCATGATGTACTCTGAGCCCTCTTCAGACGGTGTGGAGTAGCGCTCAGGTGGTGTGCTGTACTCTGAACCTTCAGATGGTGTGGAGTAGCGCTCGGGTGGCGTGCTGTACTCTGAACCTTCAGATGGTGTGGAGTAGCGCTCGGGTGGTGTGCTGTACTCTGAACCTTCAGATGGTGTGGAGTAGCGCTCGGGGGTGCTGAGTGGTGTGTGGTAGGATGCTGATGAAGCAGTTTCAAAGATCTCGACAGAGGAGGGAGGTGTGTAGAAGCGGTCTGAATCAGGCGACTCCTCTCCACTTGCACTTTCCAGCTCTATAGACATTTCTGACTCAGGAGAGAAGGGCCTGGTGAGTTCCTGCTGGTTGTTGTAATATTCATAAACTGTGCTGAAGGTTACCTCCTCCACTTCCAGTGAAGTGATGTTCTCTCGTTGGTCCTTCTGAACTGTTCCTTTGAAATCTGGAGTTTTCTGCATCCCAGTTGACCTTAAATACTTGGCCAGGGACAAGTCAGGCTCCAGCTCTAAGGTTTGAACAGCTCTGGGCTCTGGACCTGGTCCTTCTCTATCCAGACTGTGCTCAGAGGCTTCCTCAGTGGGATTGCTCTTCTTGTCCCAAGACTCCTTCTTTTGCTCCTCCTGTGCCACAGGATCATCCATTATTAAACCAAGTAAAAGTTGCCTGAAAGAGAAGCTCTTGTTTGTGTTTGATTCCTGTTGGGTGTCCCTGAGCATCTCTTCAGGAGAATTTGTGCTTTCTGTCTCACAGGTGGAGATGCTCATTCCTGTCTCAAAGATCTTTTGTATCCCAGAACCTTCTTCCTCCTCAACCTGATGCCCAGCCTTGGGTTTCTGTTCACATGCAGCTTTTTTCAAGTCAGTGATGAAGCTATCACTTTGGGAGTCTGTGGTCTCCAGTAGTTCTTCAGTCTTCCACACATGTGTTTCCTCCACTCCTCTTTGGAAATCTGCTGTGGACTCCACCAGAAAACTATGAATTTGTCCCTCAAGTAAATCCTCCCCACAGACACTCAGCTCTGACTCATTAATTTCTTCAGCAGAAGATCCCTCTTTATCAGATATCATGATACTGCCATGGTCCCCATTAGGGATTTGCAAATCAGCCCTTCTGATTTCTCTGGGCTGTGCCTCTTCCTGGGAACTGACATCCTCCTGCTGCATCCTATAGCTCTGACTGAGCTCCTCACTTAGAGACATCTCTTCCACAAGCACATCATGTTCGTGCACAGCGGGGATGAACCCAGTCACTCCTATCTCCACGCTCTCCAGAGCTGTAGGGGGTTGTGCCTGTTCTGTACCCACTGTATCTGCAGCTGGAAAAGGCTCCACAAACTTTTTCAGATCAAATGTGATATTGGTCTCATCAGTCTCAGATGGCAACAGCTGCTCTTTGAATTGTACTTCTTCTGGATGAACCTCAACTTCATCAGTAAAATCCTGACCTGAGGTTTCTATGCCAGGAGGAGCGAGGATTAGACCCAAAGAAGAGTTGCCTGCATCAGACTCCATTCCTTGCAGCATTTGTCTGTAATTGTGAATATCCCAGTGTGTGGTATCCCCAGCATCAATCATTTCTTCTTTACAAAGATTATCATCAACCTCCATGTCCTGTTCGATACCAACTGATGTCTCTTGTTTCTTAGCCTGTTCCTCCTGCTGCTCCGATGCAGAGAAATCGTAAAAGTCAAACTGCTCCTTTGTGGTTGTGCTTGCACTGTTGTCCTGCATCTGGGGCATGTTTGGCTTTTCTGTAAGAGGCACATCAGGAGACATTGCCTCCCAAGCAGGGACATCACTCTCCTGCATGCAAATATCACTTTCCACTTGCTCCACAGGTGATATAGGAATGAAGAATTGTGAATCCTCACACTCCCTTGCCAGAACAGGCTGCTCAGAGGCATGTGTTTGTCCTTTCACTTCCATAAATGGTGACTTAAAGATGTCCCAGGACAGAGTATCTGTGTGTGGTACTACCTTGTCTCCTTCAGCCTCCAACTCCTCTGAAAAGTGACCTGAGTCCTTGGCCACTAGTTCATGTTCTTCTCTGGACATGCTAGGATGCAGATCAGTGATATCAATGCCAAAGCTGTGTTCCTCAGAGACAGCTTTTCCCCTGTGCTGAATCATCTCAGAAATATCATCTGTATCCCTCACACTTTCTTCTGTATAATTGGTTTCTTGCCTACCATAAATTTCCATGATATCCTGCACTGTTTCCTCCAGTTCATTTTCCCTGAAGTGAGGGGGTTTCTCACATTCCCCTTCCAGTTGCTCACTAAGAGAGGGAGACAGCCTCGGGGACAAGGGTAGCTGTGCTTCCTCCTCTTTGGAACCTGTGATCTTTTCCTCTTCATTATTCCCAAATGTGCAAACGCCTTCAAGGTGCAGAACATGGTCCGTAGAAGGTAGTTTCTTAGTGCCTCCATCCTTGCTATATAATCTGGCTTCACGGGGCTGTACTGTCAGCTCAGAGTCTGTCTGTGCTGTTCCAGCCACATTCTTGGCCATACAGGAATACAGCCCAGCATCTGTGACAGAGACCCCTTGGATGTGCAAGCGGTATATGCCATTCTTGCCTTCCTCAAACCTGAGCCTTTCACTGGCAGAGAGGCACTGACCATTCAGGGACCAGACCACAGCTGGTGGGGGCAGCCCAGACACAGCACACTCCAACACCACTGCCTCTCCTTCATGGCAATGAATGTGTGCTGGGGCTTCTGCCACAATTTGGGGTGGTTCATTTCCCACATCAAATGAAAACTTGAACTTGTGCTTTATGATGGGAGCAGTCTGGTTTGGAGAGGGCCGTGTGGTCTCCCTCGTCTCTGTGTCTTGCTCTGGTGTTGGAGTGGGGGCAGTGATTTTGATTTCCACAGGCAGTGACAGCAAGTCTGAGTCTGGAACTTCACTTGGCAGTGCCTGCTCTGCTGTGAAGGCCAGGCTGACTTCCTCTTCTTCCTCCACATCCTTTTCTTCAACCTTCTCCACCTTCTCTTTCTCCTCTTCTTTTTCCTCCTTTACCTTCTCCTTCTCTTTCTCTTCCTTCTTCATGGCCATGTAGCCTACGTAGGCCTGCATCTGCCGCCTCACATAGAGTGCAGCTGAACTGCTGACTGTGCCCAGCGGGTTGAAGATCACGCAGGTGATGGTGCCACTATGCTGTGGGAGCACGGATGGGAAGGTCAGCGTAGAGCAGCACTCTGTGGTGTGAACAGCGGTGCCCCGGATGCGTCCCACAGGCTTGGCATTATTGTACCAAGTGACTGTGGGCTGTGGGCGGCCATGGAAGAGGCAGGAGAATGTGCATCTGTGCCCCTCAATAGCCTCCTGGGGCTTGACCTCCTGGACAAAGAGGGGTGGGCAGGGCTCCAGAAGTCCACGCTTGCAGTACCCCTTCACTACCTGCACCATGAGGGACTCTGAGCCATCAGTTGTGGCAGCAGCCTTAGGTGGGCTGGGCTTCCCAGGAGGGCTCGCCTGAGGCATGGACATGAGGGCTTCCTGCTTCTTTTTCATCACTGCTCTCTTTGCCTCCCGCAGCCGTTGTAGCTTCCAACGGATCTCCTCATCCAGCAGCTCCTCAGCATCTGTCACTGTACCACTATGCTCCCTACCATGTGCCAACCCTGGACGGTGAGGCCCCACCAGTGGCAGCCTCTGGAAACAGATGGTTCGTACCATGCCATGGGCAGGGGAGAAATCTCTAGGCGACTGCTCTGCTTCCTGTCCCTTGTCAAAGGGCGAGCCAGTGCAGCGGAGCACCACCCGCAGCCGGTCCTCCTGCCGCTGCTGCAGCAGGCACTGCCAGCTCTCCTGCATACACCCTGCTTTCCCTGTGAAACCCTGCTGCTCCCCTCTGTGTGCCACCAGTAGCGAGGCAGTGGACTCAGCAGAGCCCTCGCTGTTAATGGCAAATACCCTGTAGCTGCCAGCATCATGCTCCCGCACATCCCACACCTCCAGGCTGGCATGGTGCATGTGCTCCTCACTCTCAGTGCGAATCACCTTGCGACAGTCCTCGTGGACTGGCCGGTTGTTATGAAACCAGGCCATGTGGGGCGCCGGGCATGCCACCAGCTTGCACCAGAGGAGTGCAGGGTCCCCCTCCAAGACAGACCTACACTTCAGGCCCTGTGTGAAGGTGGGTTTACAGTTCTGGGGGCAAGCTGGCACTGTGGCTGTGCCAGGTCCCTCGAGGTTCACCTTGCTGTGCTGCCCTGCAAAAGAAAGAGATTGGGTTACAACATGCTACACTCTGCCTGCCCTCTGATTGAAAAAAAATGAAATAGCAATAAATTGAAATAAAAAAATGGGCATGCAACAGATTTCATCACACACCCAGGAAAAGAAAGTAATTCACTCACCATATTTGTTCGAATAAACGCAACGCCTTGCTCTGTTTTAAAGATTGACACGAAAATCGTTCGTTGTCTGTTCTTTCTTCAGACTGTGGAAATTTCTTCTTGAACAAGCAAAAATGAATTTCAAAATAACACGTTCTTCTGTATGTATGTTTTTTCTGCCTGGAAAAGCTGTGTGTCTTTGGGTGGCAAAGAAGAAAATCTTACCTGACTTGCAGACAGTAGAATAAACGCCCTTTCTGACCCCTCTGTTTGTAGATTAAATGTTCAAACAATTGAGAAAAAATATTTTGAAATAGATTTTTTAAAAAGTAAGTATTAGCTAACATGAAATGAGAAGGCGTTTATTCGAACTAATACAGCCACTAACTTCACAATGTTATGCACAGGGAAAAAAAGCAAGCAACATGAACCACTTATGCTATCTGCAAGCCAGGGTAAGAGATGTATAATGATGAATTAATGTATGTAAAAGAAGTGCAAGGAATCAATGGGAATGTGTAGCTTTCACATATCCTAAACAACAAATGCTTTCTGGTATACTTCATCCATCCGTCCAACAGTATTCATTGAACTGCTAATGTTAGGCTGCTAACTTTTTTAAAAATAATATGATTAAGATTTGTAAAACTTCCTTCTGAAGTAAACTATTCCATGCATTCAAAAGGAAATCGAACAAATAAAAGCTCTGTGAACAGCTGCAAAGCAGGAAGTAAAAGTTAAGAATATGCCTGCAAAATTATAAATTTGAAGTTTTAAACATATTTTAAAACTTAAATAACCTCATAATGCAAGTAACCCTTTGCATATCAAAACAAGCATGCAACATGTTCCAATATGCTTTAAATTGTGGCTTTCATTCCCCATCAGACACTACTTGTAAGCACATAAATGCTCTTTGCAGTGTTACTAGTTAACTGGTACTAATTGTTCAGTGTAACATCATTGGTGACTGTACCTTTCGCTTCCATTTCAATCTCTTCCTCTAGCTTCTCATGAACCATTTTTTCAGGAGCTAGAAGAAAAAAAGAAAAAGTTGAGTTATAGTTACTAAATATGCCAATCAAAATTTTATATAGTAAAAACAACCAATCTGTCTTGCAAATATACAGACGTTCACACATACATAAACGTAAATGCATGCCAAACAATTCAAACACTTGATAAATTTTGAGAACAGAGTAATCAAATGTTTTCAAACTTCTTTGCTCTGTACACTTTTCTGTAAGATTTGCTTTCTCTTTTGCAGGGAGGGGGAAAGTTTCTAATGTAACATGCCTTTATCATGCCTTAAATCCCTGAAGAAAACATTCAACAATCCACAGACTAATGAGATGCTTCTCTTCCCTTATCATCTCCCACGGAATGAATGTAGTGGAATGCAGTGATGCTATGGATGAAGAATTGATACTTGCAAGGAACATGCAGTTGCCAACCTGTCACTCTCAGATGGGTGCTGCACTCGGCTTGTCCTGCAGGATTAACTATTCTGCACTTGTATATACCCTTGTGGTTCTGACAAACTTTCAACAATCTTAAACTGCACAGTGGCCCATCATGTTTTAAGGAACACAGTGCAGACTCCTCAACTATTAGCTGATTGCACAGCCAGACCACACAAGGTGTAGGCACCCCTTTCATTATACAAAAGAGTAATACATCATCTCCTTCTTTTACAGTGGTTTCTGGAGGCAGAGTTTCAAGAAACTCTGGTGCTTCAGCATCCGTTTCTGTGATGTCTTCACATGGCACAACATCAGGATAGTAGATTCTGTTTCTTTGCTTCTCAGTTTCATATGGTCTTTGGGACGTAGATATAAACAAGCTCGAGGTTTTCCTGGAAGATTCTTGCTGAAGATTCTTTCCAGGAAGATTCAACTGACAATTTTTGGCTGCTTTAAAGCTTTTAGTATCTGATTCAAGGGTAATTTTTGTTACTGCTTTGGCTTGTGCTTCTTTTGCTAGGTAAGAATAAAGTTAGGAAAAAGATTAGGTCAGATGTTTTGCAGGAATAAAAAAATATCCTTATACTTAGGGGGTATTTAGTATTGAGAGAATATCCAGCATATTAGTGCCACAACAGCTGTAATAAACATGAGCAATTACACGTTTAAGAGCTCTACTCCTGCTGGGCTAATTCTAGATACCAGTTAAGCCTATGAGACTTTGATGGGACCAAGACTTGGCCTGTAATACCTAATACAAGCACATCTTTGCTTTTAATTTAGAGCTTCAATTTATAAGTAGCAGTAGATTATGTAAATCGCTTTACATAGCTGAATAGTGAAGAAAGAAACTTCAGTATGTAAGAGCAAAATCCATAGGGTCAGTGGCTTCCTCATTATTCATCTTAGTTTTCTGCCTGATTGCTTTCAGCACAGCAGAAATACTGTCACCTATCCAGTGTGGTCATAATGCATTTTTGAATCTTCAGTAGTGGTAACACTAGTACTAACCTTTTAATATGCTGATGTCAGGAAGAAATGGAAATAAATACTTGTATCTCAAAGAGAGTTAAGGTTAGAGGACAACTCACTAGTGCAGTAGTAGTATACTTCCACCTATTAATCTTTTCAAGTACATCAACCTATATTGCCAACCTTGGAATTGGAACCTTGGACTTATTGGAAACAAGTTGGACAAACAGAGTTTGAAAGGACAAAGTATCTAGTTCAACATTGCTTATTTGACATTCTTCCTTACATTCCAGCTTTGTGAATTTTTAAAATGCAAAAATTCCTACCAGCCGGATTGCTTTACATATCACTGCTTATCATGGAGGATATAAGCAGTAAAAAGCCTCAGACATCTGTAACTGCTGGAAAGAGGCATGAAGTTACAATATCAACTTCCCAGTACTGCACGTCACTTATGAGTAGAGCTGTAAATACGGAGGAAATACCCCTAAGCATTAGTAAAGCTTTCCCAATTAAATACTGATAATAAAAAAAAATAAGTAAGCTGTAGGCAGTAATAATGAAGTAGCAAAAGTTAAGTAATGATGTTAAAAGTCAGATAACCACCTTTGACAGTTAGTATTGCAGCAGTTGTTGTCCCTCCGTAATCATTATATACCGTACAACTGTACAGTCCTTGATCTGTCAGCTGGACGTTTAAGATAGTGAGAAGTAGGACACTTCCATTTTGTGATATCTTCAATTTTTCAGAAATTTCTATTCTTTCACCTTCGTGCACCCAAAGAAACTCAGAGAATAATTCATCTTCTAAGGCACATATGAACTGAGCAGTGTCACCACATTTCACAGTCAGGTCTCTGAGCTGCAAGAGAATCTTTGGAGGGACATCTTTCTTTTCCCGAGCAGTGGTCATACATATCCTGGTGCTCTGAGATGTTTGGGAAAGGATTGTTGTGTTCATGGCTTCCATTTCTTTAACTGTTGTAGCCTTCATGGTCAAACTTTCTGATATGCTTTCAAAAACCTGTACACCCAGCTCCTGTGATGGTTGTTGCACTGATTTTAATTCTTTCTGATAAGTTTTAATGTTCTTCTTTGTGAAAGGAGCAACATGAAGTTCTGTTATAGCCTGTGACTGGATAGACTCTTTTACATCTTTCCCAGAACTTTGCCTATCTAAGGCTTGCACTGTGTAATCAAGTAACAAAAATAACAATATTAGTATCTAAAGAAGTTTACTGGGCCATGCTCTGAACAAAATCAAACAGCATGGAGGATGAAAATGATCTTCAGTTGAAAACTCAGCATGCCAGATGCACTACTCTTTTACACAAAGATTATTCATTCACATATATGAATGACAAGTGATGCCTAAGCTAGTCATGCAGTTGATACACAGTTGAGGCTTCTCTCTTCTTCCACTGAAGTTGTCCATTTTAGTACTGGAAACTTCTTATGTAACTTTGTAAGGGGGTATTTTCTTTTTCTTTTTTTTTTTTTTCCTCCCACAGGATACTGCAAAATACCGCAGTCAGTGCTATAAACATCACATAATTACTTGTTTTAAAAATCTGAATGCTTTCAGTAAAATGATTCTATTCTTCGACTTATATCAAGATACAAATTTGTAAATTTGCAAATGTTACAGCTTAAACAGAAGAAATGAGAGTGGCTGGGTTACAGAGGGTAGGTATTACTAACATCAGCTGGTAAAGAAAAGGTGTGAAACAAGGAATGAAGAACATTAGTAACAATGTAAAAGTGTAGTATACAACAAATCCCTTTGAAGTAAAAATGGGGCTTTACCTTCTGCAGTCACTGTAAGTGTAGCTGTACAAGTTGTTTCTCCAGCACTATTTCTTGCCTTGCAAGAGTATTGACCAGCATGCTCTAAGAAAGCATCTACTATTATCAGTATAGCTGTGCCTGTAGACTCATCAAAGTGGAAAACTAAGTCTTTTGTTGGCAACATGAGTTGTTGATTATGAAACCACTGGATTTTTGGTTTGGGCATGCCAAAGACTCTAGCTTGAAATCTGACTGATTCCCCGCTGCATACCCTGCAGCTTGAAATAGGCTGGATAAAGGTGGGCTTTTGGCCAATAGACTCTTCCTTAAGTGAAACAGATGAAGAAACATGCCAATGGGACTCTGATGTAACTTCTTCAACCTTTTTAAATCCTGAAAAGAAGCATGCCAACTTTTAATTTCTTACCCTACACTACAATAATTTTTCTCTCTCATTCAAGATTTTTTTTTGTCAACTTGCAATTTAACAGCATGAATTATCCTAATTCATCATTTATAAATTCTGTTGCAAAAAGAAAACAAAATATTTATGGTTAAGTAATATCAAGGACAATATAGAGCTTAAATAACAAATTATCCAGACAAAATTTCTGCTCTAAAACTTTGTTCAATGTTTCATCAATTTATATGAATGTAAATTATTTCTCTTCAGCTGCCCAAGTACCTGGTTCACACCTCTACTCAACATATTTTCCAACACTTTCAAAGTAATTAATTTTATACAAAAACTCTTACTAGATTCTTCTCATAGTCAAATCAATGAATGTAAGAAAAGCATTTCCATTAGAAAGAAGATTTCTGTCATCTTTCGTGCATAACATATTCTAATACTGTAGAGAATGAAAAGGTGAGATGCATGGTTCATTGAAAAACTGTGAAATAAATTTTGGTGTGCATGACCTATATTTTGGAGACATAAATGTATGCTGTGGACATTGTAAATGGTAGTAATTAATCTAGTTAAAAGACAACACTCCAGACAAAGACGCACATGTAATCATCAGTGTACATGAAGATTAGTATTAGAACACGACCTAAACAAGACATCTTCTTTAATTGCACATTGTACCTTCTAACTTCAAGATAGCAGTGCTTGTCACTTGGCCTACAGAATTGCTAGCCACAAAGGTATAGACTCCTTCATCCTCTGGATAAGCTTCAGCAATCTCCAGCTGGTAAGTGTCTTCAAACTGAGTCATTCTAAAAAACCGTGATGGCTTGATCTCTTTCTCTTTGCTGTACCAAGAGACTTTCAGATCTGCTCAAACAAAAGAAAGAAGAAAAAATGTGTAAGTTATGATATTAGATTGGTAAGTAAACACTATTTCTGTATTTATAGCTGTTAGAAATCTTAATCTTAAGTGTCTTTTTTAAGCTTAAATGTGCCTTGTATTACTCTGGTAATGTGGAAAGTGGCCTATTTCGTGTTAAGTTTCGATTTCTCCATTGGATGTATTTGCATGGGAAAACTGATTCTGATGCTGCTAAATTCCTGAGTAAACATAAATTTTTCTTTTCCCTCTTAATGTATAAATTTTAAAATATTTTTCTGCCTCTAAAATTGGAAAAGGCTTATTCCAACATCTTTGTCGGCAACATGGACAGTGGGATTGAGTGTGCCCCTCAGCAAGTTTGTCAATGACACTAAGCTATGTGGTTTCATTGATACACTGGAGGGAAGGGATGCCATCCAGAGGGACCTGGACACGCTTGAGAGGTGGGCCAATGCCAATCTCATGAAGTTCAACATTGCAAAGTGCAAGGTCCTATACCTGGGTGGGATCAATCCCAGGCACAGCTACAGGCTGGGCAGAGAAGAGACTCAGAGCAGCCCTGCAGAAAAAGACCTGGGGGTGTTGGTCAATGAGAAACTGTACATGAGCCGGCAGTGTGTGCTCGCAGCCCAGAAAGCCAACCATACCCTGGGCTGCATCAAAAGAAGCGTGACCAGCAAGTCAAAGGAGGAGATCCTGCCCCTCTACTCTGCTCTTGTGAGACCCCACTTGGAGTATTGTGTACAGTTCTGGTGTCCTCAACATAAGAAGGACATGGAGCTGATGGAACAAGTCCAGGGGAGGGCCACGAGGGGGATCAGGGGGCTCAAGCACCTCCCATACGAAGACAGGCTGAGAAAATTAGGGCTGTTTAGCCTGGGGAAGAGAAGACTGCATGGAGACCTCCTAGCAGCCTTCCAATATTTGAAGGGGGCCTACAAGGATGCTGGGGAGGGACTCTTCATTAGGGACTGTAGTGGTAGGACAAGGGGTAATGGGTTTAAACTAAAACATAGGAAGTTCAGTTTAGATATAAAGTTCTTTACAGTGAGGGTGGTGAGGCACTGGAATGGGTTGCCCAAGGAAGTTGTGAATGCTTCATCCCTGGCAGTGTTCAAGGCCAGGCTGGACAGAACCTTGGACGACATGGTTTGTTGCGGGGTGTCCCTGCCCATGGCAGGGGGGTTGGAACTAGATGATCTTAGGGGCCTTTTCAACCCAATCATTCTATGTTTCTATAATTCTGCTACAATTGTCTGATTGAAAAGTCTATAAAATCACAAGGTTGAACTGAACACGTTAAAGAAATTAGAAAGGAATATCGTTCTTCTAATACAGCACCTTGCCTCTTTTTGTTACAAATCTTAGAAGTTTTACACCTCATATTTCTCAAGGAAAATCCTTCATTGTACCTTTTCAAAATTCCTATGTTATAGCTCATGTTACTTGGCTTGTGTAGATTCTTGTAGACATGGAGAAAGAAGAGGACTGGAGCAGACTTTAACCTTGCCTCTCCCCTTGCCACCACCTGGTACTGTATTACATAATGAATCTAATGTTTTCACACAAGTAGTGTGTTATTACTGTCATCAGAAGAAAAGACAGTGTTTTCATTTGGCAGGCGCATACCACGTACCATTAAAAGACAACTGTATTTGCAAACATCTGTTACTTAAGCTAAGATAAAAGGTTTTCACAACACAAAATAAAAGCATGCAAATCTGTTTGGATACAGGAAATTTTCAATAGGAAAAATTTCTTCACCAAAAGGGTTGTCAAGCATTGGAACAGGCTGCCCTGGGAAGTGACTGAGTCACCATCCCTGGAGGTGTTTAAAAGATGTGTAAATGTGGCACTTAGAGACACGGTTTAGTGATCAACAGTCAATTTAGTGGTCAGCAATGTTAGGTTTATGGTTGGACTCAATGATCTTAAATATTTTTTCCAACCTAAACCATTCTAAGATTCTGTAAAAGGGGTTCTAGATGAAAGGTGTAAATGCAACTATCAACCACATTCACATAAATACAGTACTCGTAAAAAAAGGTTACCCTAGCATGCTTTGCACAGAAGGCAGGCCAGCCTTTCCAACATACATTTTCTGAATTTTAGCAGCACCTAAAGCAGAGTTAAATTTGTTGTAAATTGAAAAAACAAAAATTTGGAATTTGATTTCAAGTGATAGCAATGCAAATTATATATATCCACATATGTATGTATATTATCAATTTTTTGTGGATTTTTATAAAGCTATTACTCAGGATTATTTTTAAATTTGGAGTTTTATTTATCTTTAAATAATTATAAATTCTTTGGGATTGAAACTGGATCTTATTCTGCAGTGAATTCTGTGTGAATATTTTATTACTAATCATACTCAAGGCCATTTATTGAAGAAGGCAGTTATACTGGGTTTTATGTTAACTTGGAGAGAATTATTTTAAACGTAGAACAATATTAACTGTAACAAAAACTAGCAAACTTATTTAAGGAAAATATACACTTAAAAAGACATGATACTCCATGTTTTGAGCTTATGCACTTTACTCACTAGCACAGTTTTCCAACATCAGTAAGCATTTACAACTTTGAGAAGTTTCCAAAGACAATTTTTTTGAAACAGACCTTCTTTTTAGAAATGTTTAATGTTTGTGACAGCTTATAGCATTCATGCTTAAAGCCACCTTTGACATATGACATGTGACTCACTGACAGCTATCAGTGAGTAACTCTTTGCTGTGTGCATGTATCAAATAACTGTATTTCTGTGGAAAGACTGATTCCAGCATATATACTGTTGAATTTTCCCTTAGTTCAAGATGAAAAATTCTGAGAGATGAAAAGGATTTTATTTAACCCACCTGTCCCTGTAACTCTGCACTGAAAAGAAGCAGACTGTCCCTCAGATGTAACAGCATCACGTAGTGGCATTATGACAGCAGGTGGATACACTGGCACTTCTAGTTCAGGAGAAACAACTTCTGGGACTAGAGGATAACAAAAAGAAATAATTTTTAAAGATGAAGATGATCATACACATGTTGGCAATCTCATTTCACAGACATTGTTATGAGCATGGGAAACTCACTTTCTACTGAAAGTGAAGCTGAAGTCGTAGCAACTCCATAGTCATTTTTTGCTTCACAGGTGTACACTGCTGCATCTTCAGGAAAAGTTTCAATGAGCAATAGGGTATATTCTTGTGCATCATGAAGGAACTTGCACTTGAAACCTGAAGAAAGCTGTTGATCATCTTTGTACCAGGAAATTTTGGGCTGGGGTTTGCCTGATACCATAGCACAGAAGCGGGCAGGCTTGCCAGACTCCACAGTGGTTGGCTCTAGTTCCTGAATAATCTTGGGTGGCTCTGGAGCTGCAAATTGTGTGAGGAAAAAAAGGGAGGGAAGAAAGGAGGAGAGAGAGAAATCTCAATATTTATCAAGGCTTCAAAAATATTACCATGGCATTTCAGTTTTTCTTAAATCTTATTAGTCCTAAACTTGTGTGCCCATGAAAATCTGCCCTTTTTACTTGATACAGGGGGAATGACCTAGCAGTAAGTGCTTTAACACAATTAACAGCGTTAGCATAAGTGTTTTCCAGCAAAATGTGTCCAAGAATTTCTATGTTGATCCTTCTGGCAAGGCATATTTGTCCTTATGAACATATTAGTTATATTAGTTTTATTTGGACTTAAGAATTTCCTGGTGTAAATAAATACAGTGGGGAAAAGAAATACTATAGTATTTTCATCAGCTAGCCAGCTGTTTCAGTAGAACAAGAAACATCCATGTACATGAGGATTTTGGTAGTGTTCCAGACAAAAGATTCTCTTTGGATTTTTTTTTTCTTTTTTACTTTCAGATTTAGAATTCCAGAATCCAGAAAAGCTATATAGAATCAGAAAAACACAGGGTAATAAATACAGTCAAAACATTGTTTGTGGGGACACATACCATTCACATAGAGAACAACAGAACTCCTATTCCTTCCTGCAACAAAAGTATATTCTCCAGCATCAGAGTAAGTAGTTTCAAAGATGCTCATTCGATGAATTCTCCTTTCTACCACATAACTGTATCTTTCCTCATATTGGAAGTTGATCTCAATACCGTCCTTGTACCATTGTGGTTCAATGTCATCTTCATTGACTTCAAATTCAATTTCAGCTCTTTGTCTCTCAAGGACCTTTGAACAAGTAGAATAAATATTAGAAATAGCATCTGTTTTTACAGATGGTCCCACATTCCAGTTTCCTAGAAGGCCCTGACCTTATGATTACAGATTTTTGTGTTAGGACTCTTGCTGGTTAGGTACTGTCTCTCTTCCTTTGCATTATTCTTTGAGTGATAAAGCTATGAAACATCTATTCTCCTGTATATGCCTTACCTGAATATCTTTACGGACGCTTCTGATACGAATGTCACGACCTTCCACTATCAAATTGGCACTGGATGTGTTTCCACCTGCTACTACAGTGTACTGACCAGCATCAGACATTCTTGTGGAAGGAATGATGAGACGATGGACGTATTTCTCTCTCTGAATTTTCATCCTAAGGACATCAGAAAAATGAGCAAATTATTTCCTGTGGAAAATACATAACGAAAGTCAATACAGTATGGAAGCAATCATTTACCTGTCACCAATCTGGAGTTCTTGTCCATCCTTCATCCACTGGACCTGAATGTCAGGTTCTGAAATTTCACATTCAAAAATTGCCCTCTTCTTCTCCACAACCTTGATGTCTTTAATATGCTTCCTAAATTCAATGTGACGAGCTAGGGCAGAAAAATAGTAGAATTAGTGCCATGATGATATTTAAGCCAATAGAAATCAATAAATATGGAAAAAAAAAGGGCAAATACCTTCCACATATAAAGTGGCTGATGAAGCTGCTTTTCCAGCAACAAAGGTGTATTCTGCAGCATCACCAAAATGCACATTTCTTATGGAGAGGGAGTGTGTGAGCTTCTTTGTTCGTATCTGGCATTTATCAGTCGATTTTATTTCTACCCCATTCTTTAGCCATTTATATGAGATACCTTCATAGTTAACAGTAACTTCAAATGTTATTGTATCTTTCTCTTCAGCATTGATGTCTTTTAGCATGGAGGTAATTAGGATGGCTAAAAGAAAAGGACATGGTTTTGGGTTTTTTATTCTGCTTTACTTTGTCTCAAATACATGTTAACAGGTTCAGAGATGTTTAAAATTCTTTAAGATAGATTCTGATTCTTTATAATATTACAAGGAATGTTCTACAATTAATACTGCAATTAAATTCCCGCAAATTTCTGAGTGACATAGGAATCCAAATTCTATCTCCTATGGTGGCTTGGCATTTAGGCATGTTGGCCTAAACAGAGGAATCCAGGATCTGACTTTCATGTTCACAGCTTCTAGATGTCTTTTTAAAGTGTGATTAAGACTGTTAAGGGTTATTTGAAAATACCTGTACAACAGTGCTGTTTTTTTCTGAATTGCACCAAGTGTATCTGTTATCACGAACTCTGTTACTGGTAACTGTAGAATATTCTGGCTAATTTCATTCTTACGTACGTTTTACAGTCAGGGTTGCACTGACTCTGTCGTTTCCACAGACAAACGTGTATTCTGCAGAATCGTCACTGCTCGTGTTCATGATATTGAGCTGATGGAGTTTTCCCTGGACCACTATTTTGAACTTTTCACTCATTTCAATTTCCACGCCATTTTTCAACCAGACAGCAGGCACATTGAAATGAGAAACTTCACATTGAAAAGAGGCAGTTTTGGTCTCAGGGATCTCAATATTTTTCATGGTCTTTGTGATGTGTATAGCTAAGAGGGGGAAAAAGAGGACAAAAGAAAACAAAAGATTTTTTTTAAAGTCTGTATGTGTGGAAGACTGCAAAAAAAACAAGAGTAACAGGCTATGAAGTGTCAGGTCAAGTTGTTCAATATAAGTTTGTGTAGCAATTTTTATAATTACTTTCTTACAAACTTAGTATACTTACTTTCCACAAACAGTTTTGCTTTACACTCAATTTGCCCAACAAGAGCTGTGTATTCCCCAGCATCAGCAGGAGATATGTTATGCAGCATAAGCTTGTGAACTTTCCTTTGAGAGATCATCTTGTATTTATCACTTTGTTTAAGCTCAATATTTTTGTGGAACCATCGGACTGGTACAGTATCATGGGATACGCTCAGTTCAAAGGAGACAACAGCGTTTTCCAAAGCAGTCACATCTTTTGGTTTTTTAATGATCTTGACAGCTTGAGGAAAAAAGTTAGCAAGATTCAGCAGTATGTTCATTTTTAATTTGAAAGGAAATTAAATTAATGAAATTAAGTAATTAAAGCAAATACTCAAACCAGATCGACTTACTTTCCACATGAAGTCTGGCATTTGCTCCTATCTTTCCAAGCTTAAAGCTATAAACAGACTCATCAGTGACAAGACAGTGTTTAATTTTCAGTGTGTGAACAGTTCCTTTCACTGTAATTTCATATTTGTCATTTGATTCAAGTTCAACACCATTTTTAATCCACAAAGCTCCTTTCACATCAGGATGGGTGAGTTCTACACTGAAAACTGCCTCCTGTGTTTCTGTAACAGTCAAGTTCTTTAGTGTCTTTTTTATTTTAACAGCTAGAAAAAAAAAAAAAGAGAGAAAAAACACCTTGAGAAAACAGATCAAAATTAAAAATGATAGTAAATATAACAATAATCTATATAAAGTTGAATCATGGTGCTTCATTTTAAAATATAGTATGCATATATTAATTTATACAGTTTCCTCCAAAGTGGTGTGCTTGGAATACAAAAGAGAACATTTACTTGTATCATCCATAAGAAACAGGTTTTTTTATTTCATATGTTTACTACACAACTATCAAAACAAGATTTTCTACCTCCTAACCAGTACCTTGAATAAAACGTGTTTTCTGTTAAAATACCATGCTAAATTCCAGAAATGGAGACTCCAAAATACAATAAGTTTGCTACCTCAGAAAGCACATCGTAATATAAAAGTATTTTCAAAAAAAACCAGCAGAGAAGCAAAATATACTGGTATCTTACGGCCTGATCCAAGACACAGTGAGTAATGCTAGACTGAATCTTAAAGAAATCAGTTGGTTATAAAAAATACTGACCTTCAACTTTCAGTTTGGCAGTTGTCTTTGAGCTTGCTATTTCATAGCTATATTCACCCATATCATCCATTTTCGTGACAAGGATATTGAGCCTTCTCTTTACACCATCAGATTCAGCACGGTACTGATCTGTCATAGCTAACGGTCTACCATGTCTTAGCCACTGGCCCTCTGATTCAGGATTTGCCACCTCACATTCAAAAACAGCTGTCTGGGACTCAGTCACAGTCACATCATTGAGCGGCTTTGAAATGGCACCGCCTGTTGGGAAGCAAACCACGTTTTTGTTTTGTTGCTGTTCAACTTTCCCCCATACAGAAGTGCAATCACATGTAAAGAATTATTTGCCCTAATTTGCAGCATGCCCATAGACATTCTGAGTTCTGTGAAAAATCAAGAATAGAATGTGACCTGACCATCACAAAAAGATGTTTCTTTATTCTATCCTAGTTATTCTCATTTATTATTTTTATTATCAGTGCAAGCATACTGAACTCTCAAGACAAAAAACTTCTATTACATTAATTACATCAAAAGCATACTACAGCATTCCATACTATGGATCTGATTAGGCAAAAGATATTAGTATTTACTTAAAAGCTTTGTTGAATTCAAATTATACCAATCACAAAATATAAGGGGAAGAGCAAGGAGAAGATAGAGAAAAGATAAATTAAAGACAAGAAAAGTGCAGAAACATCACAATAGCTACAATTAAAAAATAGAGTACATCAAGAATTGTTTTTAAATCACAGTGAAATAAAAATCTTGGACTTTAACAATACTAACCTGCTACTATAAGCTTTCCAGATGTTTTCTTCTCTCCAGCATAAAATACATATTCTCCTTCATCATCTTTCATCATCTTCACCACTGTCAATTTATATATTTTGCCATGTGCTTCGATTTTATAGTTAGGACCAGGCTTTATTTCTCGGCCTTTGAAATGCCAGATTACATCAATCCCTGAATGGGACAGTTCCACCTCAAAGGATACATTCTGAGTTTCAGTGCAGGTGATGTCATGAAGACCTCTAATAATCTCAATTTCTATAAAAAGAATAGATTACAAATATATTTGTTATTTCCACAGTCTTGTGTTTTAAAAATTAATTTCACAGTGCATCTTAAAGGAAACCTACTTTCAACTGTGATATTGCAACTTGTTTCAACTTTGCCAACCATTAGCTTATAACGTCCTTCATCTGATGCGTATGTTCTGGTAAGCACTAGCCTCTGTTTAGTGCCTTTACATACAGCTTGTACACGTTCTTCAGGCTTTATCTGATGATCATTTAGGTACCATTTGGAGGAAGTCACATCAGGTGCTGAAACTTTGCATTCAAGGATAGCTTTTGTTCCTTCAACTACATGAACGTCTTTCAGTGGCACCACTATTTCCACACCTGTCAAGTTAAACAAAAGATCATCATGAAAAAACTAGGCCTTTGAGAAGAAATCCTAAAGGGCCAAAAATCAAACGCACCTTCAAAATCGTGATAATGACTTACTGTATACTGTGATCTGTCCAGTGGTTGACAGTCCAAGACCAGGAGCACTAAAAGAGTAAGCTCCACTGTCTTCCTTTGTTGCATCTTCTATCAGCAACATGTGTGACTGTTTATCCAGCACAATGTGAATACGATCACTTGACTGAATTTCGTGACCATCTTTCATCCAGACACCTTCCACATTTTCTAGGGAAACTTTAACTTCAAGTTGTACAATGTCTCCCTCACAGACTTTTTGATCAGTAAGTCCTTGAAGAATAGCCATGGGACGAGCTGTGGAATGAAATGAAGTTAATCCTCATAACAGATAAGCAGAATATTGAATATTAAGGCAGTATGGGATATAGTGATATAGCCATAATGTATGATGTAATGTAGAAAATCTATAATATATAGACAATATAAGTATTAGAAATGCTTACGCTTCATCTTCAGTTGGCAATGAGTCCTTTTTCCATCAACAACAAAGCTGTACTCCCCTTGATCATCTTTAGTAACATCTTTAATAGTGAGGATTTGCCGACCACGGCGGGATGTGATCACATACTTATGATTAGAAGTGAGTTCAACATTGCCATGATACCATTTCCCCTCTGCATCTTCTGGGGAAACCTCACATTCCAGTTCACCTGAGAAGGATTCTGGTACTTCAATATCCTCAAGTTCTTTAATAAACTCAACTGCAGCACCTACAGGCAAAAATAATTACCTTCATGAATAAGATTCATTGGATACCCCTGATGAAAACATTTCTTATTAAATGAGCTTAAGGAGATTTATATTTATATAATAATATACCTTATATATATACACACCCCTTATACACCTTATCTATATTTTTATATATATGTATATAATATAAAAGGTATAACCATTTTACATAACCGTATCTCCAAACTTTCATACTGGATTCTGAGAATATGAAAGCAGCTTGAATATTTCTTAGTGGGCTAGACATCAGTTTAAATTGTTTTATTTCTTCCTGTTTCATTTTAGCAGTACTGCATGTTACTGTGCTGTGTGCTTCTTACCTTCAACAGTAAGCTTTGCAGTAGTTTTTATGGATTCATCTTCTATCAGTGCACAGCTGTAGTCATCAGCATCAGACATTTCAATTGCCAGTACAGAAAGAAAATGAGCCTTTCTGTCTGAGTGCATCCTGTATTTGTCCCCAGAATGAATCTCAATTCCATCCTTAAACCATTTCACTTTGACAAAGGGTTCTGATGTCTCACATTCAAATGTTGCCATCGTGTCTTTTTGTTTAGCAACAATATCTTGTAACTCCTGGGTAAAGTTGATTAACTGCTTGGCTGCAAAACAATATGCAATGAATCAACAATGTGCTGACCATATAGACTGTGATAAGCAGTACGATGGAAGTAAGAGAATTTAAATTACCTTGTACTAACAGGAAAGCATGGCTAGAAGTTTCACCAGCTATATTGACTGCTTTCACCATGATGCTGGCAGAATCATCGGAAGTCACGTCTCTAATGACTAATTCGCAAACATTGTCTTCAGGCCAGTACCAGTACACACGATCAGTCCTTTCAATCTCCACACCATTTTTGAACCACTGGCACTCAGGGTCTGGTTTTCCCACCACTCTCACACGGAAGTGTGCATCTACCCCCTGGGCTACAGTCTGACTCTGAATGCGCTCAAGTATCTTGGGAGCCTCCATGCTTGGACTAAGCTCAATCTTCTCTGGTTTGAATGTTGGAATGGTGATCTTGCCTTCAGGAGGAAGTGCTTTCTTCTCTTCCTCTGGGATCTCTTTGGTCCAGTGAAGAAGTTCTTCTTTCGTCTTTTTCAACATTTCTTCATATGATTCATCTTTTTTGCGAGACTTAAGTTCCACAGCAGTGATGGCTTCATAATAGCCCTCTTCTGTCCTACGCTTGAATTTACTACGCAGCTCTTCAGATTCTTCTGAAAGCTTCTCATGAGTGATTCTTTCAGCCCTTTTCAGTTTCACAACTTCTTTGGTTGTTGCCTCTGCAGGTCTGTCTACCTTCTGTACCTCAAAGAGAAGTTTTCCAGGCTCTGGCAGTACAGGCTCATGTTTGGGTTCAGGTGCACGACGAAGAACAGATCTGAAGTCTTCCCTCTGCTGGATCTCAAGTCTCACCTTATGTTCAATAAAGCCTTCTGGATTCTCTGCAGTGACTTTCACCTCTCCGGTGTCATACGATTTGCAGTCCACAATATCCAGGTAGTAGATTCCATCATAACGGAGTCTAAACCTTTTGCTTTTACGGATGAGCTGTCCATTGAGGTACCAGTTGACCTTGGGCAAAGGATAGCCGGTCACACGGCAGCGGAATCGTGCTGTTTCACCTTCCAGGACTCTTGCAGGTTCAGGAACCAAAACAATATCTGGTTTTTGTTTTTCCTTTTGGTCCATTGCAACTGCAGGAAGAGCACCCTCCTGGGCCATTCTTTCTAACTCTTCAATTCGCTGCAGTCCCCTTCTGCCTTCTGGCAACTGGGATTCCTCCACAAGGCTTTTCTCATCCTTGACAATCAGAGTAGCTGATGTATGGTCTGTACCATATTTGTTAGTTGCCCTGCAAGTGATCACTCCACTGTCCCTGGAATAGGCTACTCCATAGTCCAAGCTACAGTACCCAAACTCATTTATCATGCGGAGTCTGTTAGCTGCTTCCAAGGGTTTGCCATCATGCAACCACTCCACCACCATGGTAGGGTCGCCAATTGGTGTAAGCCTGCACTCAAAATGTGCTGGTCCAAATTGTTTGAGCCTTAAAGATGTAAGCTTCTTCTTAAAAAATGGTTTCTGTTGCTTTTCTTTGTCATAGAGATCTCCTTCCTCCCATTGCTCTTGACCATAACGCAAATGGAGAGGTTCTAACTCTGGAGCTGCAATCTCCTTGGCTTTGTAAGTTCCTTTTGGAATGATTAATCTCCTTTCTGGTTCAGGTTCTGCATGTTCAACTTCAACATTTACTTTGCACCGAGTAGTGTCCCGCCCAGCTTTATTAATAGCAGTAGCAGTATACCACGCGGCATCTTGCCTGGCAGTAGATTCGATTTTAAGGGCAGCTGCCCCTTTGGTTCCCTCAATCCTGAAATATTAAAACAATTGGTTTTTTACATTTTTTTGCACTTCTTTATCATTCATTTTTTGCAATTCTCCAAAATTAGGTCAAAACCTCCAAAGGCACATCTCTGGAGGAATCAGACATCTTTATGGTTATTCATGTTTATGTTTACGAATGTAGTGCCTAAGAATAAAACAGATAAGGATAATAAACCCCAGTCTTGAATTTAGTATTGGGTGGTGGGGTTTTTTTGCCTGTCGACTTCAAAATCAGAGACAGATGAAATTTCCTGAAATCTCTGTTATAAAAGCATTGGCTTTGCGGAATACAAAATTCACAAATAAGCTTGAAAAGATGGAGTGAATCCTACAAGATATTTTAGATGACTTCACCTTGCTGCAGTGCAAAAGGTGTAACCTCAGTAGCCATTGGACTAGGCCTTTAATGAATCTCTTCTATGGAATCAAGGTTATACAGCATGCTGTAGGAGACACTAGGCAGGGTGGTGATTATTAACTCCTTTCCTATTTAAACAAAATAAAAATGCTTACTTTATTTTAGGGTATTTGTGAGGCACAATGATGTCACTGTTCTTCAGCCATACAATGTCAGGATTAGGGTTACCAGTAGCTTTCACTGCCATCTCCAATCTAGAGCCTTCCTTTACGCTAACATTCTTCAGCCTTTCCACGAAGTGTGGTCTGACTAGGTCTTCCTTGGCTGAAAGAGGAAGGGTAAGTTATCATAAGAGGAAATGGCACAACCACGGTTTTTAATAAGAAACACTCCTTAGCCTGCTAAAAATAGCATGCACATTAGATACCTTCCACAGTCAGTGTCATTGAGACTGAAGCTTTGCCTGCCCTGTTCTGAGCGATTACAGCCCATTCTCCAGAGTCCTCCGGCATAGCAGGAACAATGATCAATGACTGGGTGCCGTCTTCTTTGATCACTATTTTATGGGTGTAGTCATTAATCACTTGTTGACCTGCAGATACACATGAATAAAAAAAAAAAGTTGCACTCAAAACAGTGTATCAGCAAGATGTAAAATGCATAGAAGGTTGTTTTTTAAGATTATTTCTTGATGAAAATGAAGCTGATGTACCATTATGGAACCAGTATGTCTCTGGCATAGGTCTGCCAACAACTTTTAAGTCAAATCTTGCTGTCTGCCCCTGTGAACATTTAAATGATGTAGGCTTCAGGACAAAAACTGGCTTGTATAGTCTCTCTAGTTGTCCTTCGTCAGTTTCTTCTAATCTGCGGGCAGGAGAACGAGAAGGAGAACTGCGAGCAGGAGAGCGGCTTGGAGATCGTGGTGAAATAGACCTGGAAGTAAAAGATAAGACAGACGTATGACCACATCATATAGCAGTGGGCCGACATGCTAGAAAGAGTTTAACATTTTCCTTTAGCAAAATTCCTTCTAAAGAGGTTATAACCAATTTATCTATAAGAAATCGCGACAAAATTATTTTTTATTTGTAGTCAATTTTCTTTACGTTTTTGAGAGCAGTTTATACAGCTGAATAGCATACACCACAGCCAGGGAAGTTTTGGGGGTGTGGATATTGTACAGATATGGATGTAATCCTGTGTATGTTTGTGCGTGTGTGTATGTATATGGAAACAGAACACAGTACATGGCAATGCTGGATTTTTTTCTGGCATAGAAATGCAGCTATTTCAAGGGTGGGAAATAAGGGTTGCACACAGTACCACAACTCCAAGTGTAAAAGATTTTTTTTTTTCAAAACATCAGTACTTCAAAAATAAATGTGGTTACTGAGGTTGGAAATCTGATACTGTGACTGCATAGGCATGTGAATGATGGTACTCTGGAAACTGCATTGCTCATTAAGAAGGAAAATCAGACAAAGAGTTGGCACAAAAACCAGTATAAGCCATGAAAACAACATTTATAGCACCTCTAGAGGCACACAGACTCCAATAACTTAAACTGTTTAGCTGCTATGTAATGAGTTTTTGGTTTGCCTCTCAAGCACACTAAAATCTTATGAAATTTATATATTACTGTGTACATACCTATATCTTCTCATAACTTCTGGTCCTGGCATATAACCTGGAATTGCTGTGGGTGCAAGTGGCTCAACGTAGAGTTTTGCTGAGCAAATGGCATTTCCTTTCATGTTACTGGCAAAAACAGTATAAATTCCTTCATCTTCTGGTAGAACAACAGGCAAACGGAGACTGGCACTTCCGTCTTGCAAAACTTCCATGTGGTAGCGCTCTCCATGCCTTATGCGCTTACCATCTTTGTACCATGCAATCTGCATGGAAAGAAACAATGAAATGTTATGTGAGCTCTCCTACAGACAAAGATCCAGTAATGATCCATGCATAAAACATACTACAGTTTCCTACTTTTCAGCTGATGTGTCATCACAGCCTATATGCACGTGTTAACATGAATATTTTTACTTGAAATACGACTAAAATAGTGTGGGTTTGCAGTCGCCTGAAACATGAATTTGGAGCTAGAAACAGATACAAAGCCCACTTTGATGAAGAGCAAAGTGACCTAGATTGTGTTCCCCACTTGTGTGGGCTAACTAGGAGATACTCATAAGCAAGACCAATTTAGCCAGTAAATCAAACCTACCTCTGAACTGGCTAATCAACCTAACACTATTATATTAAGGGACAAAAGGAAAATCCAGCTTAATATCAAAACAAAAGATTGGATTTCTTTTGAGATTTTCTGTTTTCTATGCATAATGTAGAATGTCTGACAAAGAGATCTTAAGGAATTTTTCAAGTAGAGCAACAGATTTTTTTAAAATAGATTAATGTCATACAGGTTTGAGGTACCTTTGGCAATGGATATCCAGTTGTCTTGCAATGGAAAGTAACTCCTGTTCCTTCAAAAGTTCTGTAATTCTTTAATCTTAAATCAAATCCTGCTTCTATAGCTTCAGATTCAGAAATATCGACCATCATCTCCTCTCCATCTTCTTCAAGAAGTTCATCTAAGGTGGTCTTAATAATTCTGAGTTCAATTTCCTTGATAAGTCTTTCTTCAAAAGAAGAAATATGGAATTCCTACAGAGAAAACCAAAACCAAGAGTTCTGTGTGTCAGACCTTGTAAAGAAGTGATTTGTAGTTTACCAGCAATTTGTACTGGTAAAGTGTCAGTATACAAAATCAGTATGGAGTGGTAGACATACCTCATCTACAAAAGTTCTGACCATCACTGTATCTTTCGCCATTTTCTTCCTAATTAGGGCTTGTTCTTTTTCATATTCTTTTTCAAAGTCACCATATGAAATAGCTGGGGCTACCTCAGCCACTTTAGGTTCCTGAACATACGCAGTCACCTGAGTTTGGTACATTGTTTCTTGTTGCGATTTTATGTAGGCTTCAAAATCAGCTAAGAATTAAGAACACAGTAATTTTGATAAATTTTTGTGATTTTTCACTGGATTGAATAGAGAAAATGAGTACAGATCTACTTTACTGGTTTTGGTGATTCAAACAGAGTTTCTGTCTGTTTAGCCAATAAAGAACAAACAGCAATAAAATCCAAAACTCAGATGAGCTTTATAAATACGTACAAGTTTTACTGTGTTATTTAGGTATTCTAGTTCTGCAAGTGAAAGCGCCTGTAGAGGTTATTTTGCAATTTCTTCACCATGGCTCTGTCTCCTACAAACTTTCATGCATTTTTACAAGGACAAACAACCAACCAAAAAAGAAAATTTAGCTCTTTTCCCTGTAATAGAACAACCTATTACTTGATTAACTTCCTTTCCCCACATCATTCTCTGAACATCTTCCGTTATGCAGACTGTTATGGATGTCAAAGGAAGAAAGTTCCTATAGGTCCACATTCTAGCAAAGAATAAAGTCTTTCCAGAACCTGAGGTCAAATACTCTGTCTTGCAGAAACAGAGCCACCCTTTACGTTTCTTGAATTGACTAAACTAGGATGCATTGAATTTGCAGCACAATTCAAAATATTTTTCCCAACTTAGAGTTAAATTTAAGAAATATTTCTCTCTTTCATTGAAAGTACAATGTACCTTCTTCTAGTAAGGAGACCGTTGCAGAAGCTTCGCCATGTTTATTACGAACAACAATAGTGTATTCTCCGGCATCGTCGGCAAAAGTCATGGAAATTTCAAGTTTGCATTCCCCGGTTTCTCTTTTGTAACTTACTTTGTATCTGTAGAAAACACAAAAATTCAAGTTTTCTGTAATTCTGATTAACATACATCTTAGCGAATTTGATTTTAATCATAAAATTAATTGGAAGCACTCTTAACTTGTGCAAGACAAAGATTGAAACTTCAGCAGGCAATTCTCACTCAGTGAACCTGCAGAACAGTGCAGGGAAAGTAACCATGCTGAAACTAGGCTACAGGTCTACTTTCTATCTGTTGTCACTAAAATAAATGGAATTCAAGCAGCAGTACAAACAGAAATGTCAGAGGTCTAATCATCGGACTCAGTAAAATGGCATATGCTATGGGCATGTAATTTGTCCTAATATGGGTCATTGTAGTGTGGTATATTTCAAGAATGCTACAAATGGGTTTTTTCCTCTCCTAGAAAGTGTGTTGCTTTCTATAGACAGCATTTGCATAGGGAAAATGCAAACATTGCCCAGAATCATAGAATCATAGGATCGTAGACAGAACAAAAAAATGTACAACTTCTTCCTGATTTGTTTTTAAGCATATGTAGTGTTTCTCATTTTATGGTCTTTTGAATGTTTGTGTTTTAAAACTTAGCTTTCTAAAGTCTCATATTAAACATGATCCTATGATTTTCCAGTTTAGAAATAAAATTTCACAGAAATCAGTGATGTTGTTTGGCTCAGCATCATTAAGGGACTGAAAACTATCGTAATGTAAATTATGTTTAGATAGATTTTGTGCATTATATTTGAAGTACCTGTAGCCAGTCGTTAGAGGAACTCCACCTTTTTTCCAGTAGACATGTGGCTTTGGGTTGCCCCCTACTTGGCATTCGAAAATAATGCTCCCACCTTCAATTAATTTATGTACTGTCGGTTTTCTTATGAAGAAAGGAGGTATGGGTTCTCCCGATACTTCCTCTACTGCAGCAGAGACATCTTCCATTACAATGTCTTTTGTCTCCACGTAGCTGAAATAAGATTCCAATGCAGGTAGGTGAGCTGATGTCTGAAGCTCTCTTAAACAGAATGCAAGAAACTAAATACCACAGTAGCTATAGTTTGTTTAGGAAAGTAACTTTACCGTTTCTCTTCTCTAACAGCCTTCTCAGAAATGGTTTCTCGAGTCTCAGTTTCCTCTGAAACTGCAATGCAAACATCATATAGTGGAATTTAAAATACATTAATAGTGCTTAAGCAATTAGTCTAGTTGTCACAAGGAAAGAGAAGGTAAAGTAGTCAGTTGGTTCAGAGGGCCAGGTACTTCCACTGAGGAAGCAATTTAGGAGTCTTCATCAGTATACAATTGGCCTTTTCCTCATGTTCTTACAGCCCTGTTACCTAACAGCCCTGGAATACAATTCAAGGCATACGCTCTACTTCAGAGCTGACAAAACATCTAAGTTACATTACTAACAATATTCAGCCAACAAAATTATAATCTTCCTGTTTTAACAAGAGGAAATGGCCTGAAGTTTAGATTGGATATTAGGAAGAATTCTTCACCAAAAATTTTATCAACCATTGGAACAGGCTTCCCAGAGAATTGGTTGAGTAACCATCCCTGGAAGTATTTAAACAGGCAGATGTGGTGCTCATGGACATGGTTTAGTGGTGCACTTGGCAGTGTTAGATTGGCAGTTGTACTCAGTGATCTTAAAGGTCTTTTCCAACCTAAATGATTCTATTAGTCTATAAATATACATACCTTTCACGTATAAGTGGCAAGATGTGCTGACACTGCCAGCCTTATTTGTAGCAGTGCAGGTAAATCTTCCACTGTCTTCTGCAAAAGCTTCACGAATCACAAGGCGAGCAAGTCCTGCTTTGAAAGTTATCTGAAAGTCCATTGAACTCTCAATCTTGTAGTCTTCCCTGTACCATGTCACAGTAGGCTGAGGATGACCAGAGATATGGCACTCCAGAGTTACAGACTCACCTTCAGTCACAGTCTGATTTTTGAGGCCCTATATGACAAAAAATAGGTATCACAGTCAGTATATATTTTCAGTACTAAACAGACATTAAAAGAACTAAAGACTATTTAAATGGAAAAATTAATGTCTACTTCAAAACAGTGTTCTGCACAGCAGTGTGTCCAGGGAAAAGAAGGCACTTCCCAAAGGGAAGTATTTGAAACTGGCTTTGGGATCTCTGAACACTACTGTTATTAAAAAGAAAATTAAAAGTTAGGTTGATGTTTGTGCAGATCATGGAGAGAAATTGTTTCACTGAAGCAAAGGTCAACCTACTATGCAATAATTGTGAAGACTCACCCCATAACAGACATTCAAAATAGTTTGTGTCAGAGAAAACTTGTGTGGCAGAGTAAGTCTAATACAGAGTTTAAAAGATTAAAGACAGTTTTCATGTTCAGGTCTTCAAAGATAAAATTTAAAATGCAAAATGGGTAAAAACATATGAAACTCCCCCTCAGTTACTTACTGAGACTATGGTGGGTGGAGTAGCAGGGATTTCTGCAGGCACAGGAACTCTGGCAGTTTCTGTCACCTAGGTTGTTTAAAACACAGTTAATAAACACTTAACAAAGCCAAGGACATAAACAGCAGAATTTAGATAAAAAAAGAAATTAAAGAAAACCCTTTGCTCGACATAGGTAAATATTAGGTCCTTAGAACATTGTGTAAAACAATGAGAGAAAAGTCAGCAGGATGCTGTAAAAGTGGAAAATTGCAACAAGGAAACAGCAAACAAGTGAGGCTATGCTATGTTTTTAAGATGTAAGTCAGTCAAAGTGATGGAAGTTTGCTTAATAACATACCTTTGCTTCACCTTCTTTCTGCAACATCAAGTGTTCTTCCCGCGCTGCTTCACCCTTAATGCTAAAACCTGCCTCCTTTTTAGCATCGACATCATAGTGACTTTTGTAGGCCTTGGCAGCCTCTCCAAAGGGAAACTGTGGAGGGGTGACTGGCTCCGTTTTTATCCTGACTTCATGAGGCTTTAGCTGAGGTGGCTTCACGGGCTTGGTGATCTTTTGCACAGCAGAAGTAGCTGATAACTCTTTTTGCAGAGTTGCCATGGCAGATCCAGCTATTGAAACCTAAGGAACAGAAAAGAAAGAGTTACAGCTTTGTTGTTCTCTTGTTTTCAAAGGAAACATTAAAATATGTAATTCTTAAGCAGATTGCATATGCACCAGTTGCTTCCTTAGTCACTTATTTGTTGATACTGCAAAAGCTACACATACAAAAATTAAGTTTTAGATTGCACTAGTAGAATACCAGAGATATAATATCCTTGTGTTATTTTTGATGTGTCTAACATCTTACTTTAGAATTTGATCTTTAAATCATCAAGAAGCTCTTAAGTGCAGCATGAGAAATGTTCTCTAAATTTATTCACTTGAGGCCTTAGCTTTCCATTTAATCAGTCTCATACTGCAATAACCTACTAATCATATAACCGTCAATGATTAAAAAAAAGAGATTTCAAAATGTTATTTTAGGTGTTATAACTTTGGAAAACATACATAAATATTTAAAGAAAAATAGTCTAGGTAATTTTTATAGTGTTTAATTTTATCTGAGGAAAAAAAAATTCACTTTTAAAGGTCCAGGTGAAGAGAGAAAGTGTTCTTGAATGAGAAAATTAATGGAATGGAAACTTTTAATGACATGTGAAGGATTTGAATAGAAGAAAGGAAAAAACCCACTGAAATGGATGGTGTAATATTATACAGTCTCAATTTTTCTATTGCAAAAATTAGCTAACTATGTAGTAAACTGCAAGGAAGAAAGAAGCAATGTTTACAATGTGCTAGTGAACTGATGCACATAATAAGATTGAAAAGGGATACGTCTGTTTAAAAAATGTAAGTTGCATGATACGTTTATGATTCCACAATATGACATGATGTATTGAAGTTGCACCCTTATACAGATAATAACTTGGTTAAATAACAATTACAAATCAAATTTTAGCAGTTCATGTGTCTGTTCACAGCACTGCTTTTTTATTAGTCAAACAAGCCAACAAAAACTATTGCAGAGAACATACAACTCTTCTTAGGAAAGCACCATACTGGAGTGGGAGGAAAAGCCTTCGGAACGGGTGACCCACTTGTTACTATAAATAAGCATGTTATTCTTCTTGGATACAATTTTCAATTCCTACCTCATATGTATGATCTGGTTTAGGAACAGCAATTTTGGAGACTGTGAAGTGAGGACTTGCTGTGCGAGGTCGTGGGTGTTCAACGTGAATTGTTTTCTCCATCTTAGCTTCTGCTGCTTTCCTTATCTACACAAAGCAATGTAAAAAGTTGTCGAGAATGTTATGCTGTTCTCCAAACTGAAACAGATTTCACTGGGACATAGATTTTGGAAAAGAATGCAGTATAAACTAATGTCTAACCTCTGTCGATATCTGAACTTCTTTCTTTTCAGCAGCAGAGATATGTTTCTCAGGAGGAACATAGACAGTTTTAACTTCTCTAGTGACAACATGACGTTCTGCTGGGGCCTCAGCAACCCGGTCTGTTACAGCAGCAACCCGATCTGTTACTTGCTCTTTATAGCCATATTCCAAAGTTTTCTGTTTTACATAGGCTTCATCTGCTTGTTCTTGTTCCCAGGGTGATCGGACACGTGCCTGATCAACTGCTGCAACAACTGTAGCTACAGCTTCAGCCCTTTTTCCAGCTTCAGTCTATAAATAACATTTGCAAAATTTATACAAATATTCATCATTATATTAAAAGCTTACATATATGGCAAATACTTATAAATATAATGCTCCAGTAAAGTATGTTCCAAACAAAGAGTGCATACATATGCAAAAACAATAATGTAAACATCAAATGTGTTCACCCATAAATACACTTCGGAATCAGTAGACTCAGACGTAGTCTTTTCTAAGCTCTATCTATGCATATTCAGATGATATATATGCTTGTGTGCTTTATACATATCAATATTTGTATGCAAGCTCTCTTTTAATACTTCATAGTCACATTTACGGCTACTTATAGCAGCTATGTAAGTGTGCACATACATTTAAAGTCAGTATGTTGATCAGCTCCATATAACTGTTAGATGCTACTAAAACATAGCTTTTAGTAACTAAGAATTACTATTTCAGTCTAGCACCTGATATGAATGTATTTACTAAGGAATATACCCATAAAAATCTTTACCCCAGGCATATCGGTTGATTCAGAGCTAATCTATTTAAAATGATTTTACAAAAGAAGGAAAAGTAAGTTTTCTGAGGAACTGGAAATAATGCATTTGTATTAGGAATTTTCCTTTTTTCTTATAACTGATAGCTACCGTCAACTTCTGTGTTAGCAGGGTCTAAATTTCTGCCTGGTCAGACAAAAATAGGTAATAGGATGATCACTACTGCTGTTTATTATTACTGTCATAACTGATTTGGATGTAGCAACGAAGCATATGACATTTATGCCTTGTAGATGGAATACCCCCCAATAGATAATTTCATGCTGATCTTAAAGTCATTATCACCTTGAACTAAAATAGCAAGTGAGGCCAAAATGCGATGGTTTGCAGGGATTTTTATTATTATTATTAATATTATTATTGTTATTATTAAAAATAGTGTTTAGGTAACAGGGACATCTTATTTAATACCATTGTCTATTTCAAAATCATTATTTGTACCAATTTGAATTTTGTCCTAAATTTACATCATCTAACAACTACAATCTCTTAGCAGTCTGACTCCTCTGAGCTTTATATGCTATGCTCTGTTAATTATATTTTATAAAATTATTTTATGAACGTACTATGCTGTTTCTAACAAAGTAGATAGATAGAATTACATAAAAGCCATTGGCTTTTATAGCCCACAGTTATGCTATTCTTCCACATATGCGAGTTCCTGGCTGTATTATAATCAGAAAGCTTTTCTACTGTGGGAATCCTACTGGAACAAAGCTATGTCCACTAGTGTCTGATTGTCAGAAGTAATAAAGTGTACAAACTTGAATGGATGTTAACGTTTGTATTATACAAAGAACATTACAATTCAAACTTGAACAGATAGTGGTTGTTTTATCTGACAACCATAAAATTGCAAGGAATCATCATGTAGAAGAAAAACTTGCAGTCAGAAATTCGAACAAGTAAACATTACTTGATTGTCATCAGTAGGGAGTAGGCTTTCAGAGAGAAATCTGACTATAAGTCTTAGAAGTGGCATTTCCTAATATTCCTTTATGTCTAGTGAGACAAAAACCTCTATCACCAGAAACTTAATGATACTGCCTCTGTTGCTTAACAAACTTGATGGGTATGTTACCAGGAATTAATTTGAAGGCATTCTATTGTACCCAGGTAACTCTTAAAAGGTAAGGTTTGCAGATAAAACAAATTATAACAGTTCATTTCACATCTTCAACAGCTATAGTCACCTGATCATAAACTAGATGAATTTTTTCTTGCTTGGCTGTAATTTCTTCTTTAGTTCTGGACACCGTGACTGGTGCTTTGGTCTTATCAGTGGCAATTATTTTCGGAGCTACAGTAGTTTTCTTAGCTTCCTTTTTAATCTAATTATTGTAGCAAAAATAAAAGTTTCAGTTACATATGATCTTGAAAGATATTTGAACAACAGGGTAGCATTTTGGAATGGGAACAAGGAAAAAGAAGGGGTTAGATCCTTGTGCACTGCACACAGCTCTGCATTATATGTATACTGATAAGTATTGTTACACCCTCACACCTATTCAAGTAAAATAATGATTAAAAAAAAATAGTTAAAATACATTTCAAGAGTCAGTTATTCCATTCCAAAGGTCAATCAGAAGAGAATTATGGGCAGCCTATTAATGAAAACATTTAGGAGAACAAGATAGACGTGGAATAATAAAGTCTAATTAACAATAGTTCTGGAAATTTGTAAGAGGAATAAATCATATTAAAAATGATCTGGAAATGTATAGTTAGTATTTTTTGAGGGACACATAAGGTTTGTAAAGAAGCAAGGATAAAAACCCAAATATGGTTATAATATTGCTATTCACCTTTTCATGGGTTATGCTCACTTGTTCTTGCTCGGTAGCAATTCCTTCTTTACTTTTCGATATTATGACTGGTGTTTTAGGTTTATCAGTGGTAATTACTACCTTAGGTACAGAAGATTTCACATCTTCCTTTCTTATCTAGTTTTTATGGTAAAGAAAATAATAGTAATCAATTATGCCTGTTGTCAAAATTACACAGCTTTTCTGGAAAGTGGGACAAAGCTTCAGAATGTGTATCAGTAAGAGAAAAAAAGCACTTGACAAATGGAATAAACCCTTTGTACAGACCAAGCTATAGCCTATCTTATATGCTAGCTGAAAAAAGTCATTAGCATATTGTATTAATCTGTGTGTGAGTTGCGCTATATCATTGTTGGTTTGTAGAAACTGTTTTCTGTTTACAGAAAAATGAGTATTACTGACTTAGTGTTTGCTCCCCTCAGTAGATGGAACTATTTCATCAGTTACTCCAACAAAGGTTTCACAATATAGTCTAGCAGATGCATTCAATCCTCAGACGAATATGAACTTCATTAAATCAAACTCCACACATAAATATCGTATCATGAGAGATAACCTTTACAATTTATCTTCAGAAATCTACCTTCAGACAAAAAGCAAAGGTCATTAAGGATAAGATGAAGTTCTGTGTACGCTGGCAATAAAAGCTATAATGTTCGAAGGATCTGTAGGATCAGCAGCTTCACTCTTCCTCTGTAGACAGACCTGCCCTGAAGTGAGTAGGCCTAGACCTGTGATGCTGGGCTGGACTACCTTGTTTTATAAACTTTTCATTTTGTAATCTGCTCTTCATAAATAAGCAAAGTGAAGATATGTAGCACATTGGATGAAGAATAAGGTTTTATAAAATTTTTGGTGTATAACAGTGAGTTAAACATCTGTAATATTAATTTACCTTTTCATGAGCAATTTCCACTTGCTCATGTCTGGTAGATATTTCTTCTCTAGCTCTTGATATTCTTTCTTGTTCTTTGGCTTTGTCTGTGGCAATTACTACTGTGGGTACTGGAGTTTTCTCTGGTTGTTTTCTTACCTAGATGTTTATAAATAAAGAAGTTTAAGTGATATATTGTTTAAAAATATAAAGTATGTGATTTTTGATACATTTGGAAAAGAAGATAAAACTGAAAGGGAAATAAAATGTCAAACTCTGGATTTCAAAATCAGAAATAACAACATAAACAGACTTTTTTATAAAACATATATACGTTTAGCATAAAAACAATACAACATTCCACAAATAATTGCTTTGATACTGAAAGCAGTATAAAAAAAAAAAATTGATCAGAGAAAAACTGTCCTGCATCATAATCAGTTTGAGAAAGTATTGGATATTAAAAACAAGAATTAGGTAATTTTCATTTTGTCAAGAAGTTCAGTCATAATCTGCACACAAACATGTAATTTTTTTCAAAGGTGGATTTCTATTTCTCAGTACCTTAAACATAGGTTACACTTCATTCCTCATGCAATTCTGCTAGAATGCAGATGTAATATTTCTCTGTAAAAGCTGGTCTTCCATTAAATCACGCTTGTCTGATAAAACGCATGCTAAATTAATCTGGATCAGTATTTCCAAAATTGATTTCAATGCAGAATGAGTTTTTGCTCCTTTTTCTGACCCACTGTGCTGCCAACATACAAAGCAGGCTACAAATAGCAAGCTTAGTAAAAAAATCAGAGAAAAAAACCCACTATACAGTATATAAAAAATAGATTTCTTTTTCTAGGTTAATGTTTTTCAAGTTTAGCTATCACATCCTTAGGTATTAATGGAAGTGAAATAAAAAAGGAATCATCATCAAGGAGAGACACGAGAATGATAGCAATGTAAACTAGAACAGTGAACATCTATGAGGAGGAAAAAATAGTATTATGATATGTAACTTTTCTTGTTCATAGGCTTGTCCTTTGATGAGACTTAGATTCTTGAACAGAGTATGACAATCACAGGTAACATCTGTATTCACCTTTTCATGGGAGATGTGCCTTTGTTCTTCTGAAGTAACAATTTCTTCTCTAGTTCTCGATATTACTGTTTGTTTTGTGGCTTTGTCACTGGTAATTACTACTGTTGCCTCCTTTCTCATCTGATTTTTATAGCAACAAACAAAAAAAAAAAAGCCTTAAAATTAATTTTAACAACTTGATCATCAAAAGAAGAGAAGAAAGTAGAGAAGAGTGTAAGTGAAGGAAAAACACTAAGGGAGAATTATTTTATACCTAGTGCGGAAATCGTAAATGAGGTATTAGAGGGAAAACTCCATCAGTGTAAGAATAACGTTAGGGAATAGATGACAAGGGAGAATACAGGATCACCTTCATAGAAAGCATTCTTAAACTTAAAAACAGTTTAAGAATAACTAGTTCAATCCTGCTATGATGGAAAGGGATGGGAAAAGTGATCCATGAGCATTCCTTTACAGTCATGCTTTTGTGGTGCACTGGGTAATGTCTTGTTAATTCCTCACAGTCAATCATGCCTTGTTTGCATGTTGAATGAAGGGATAAAGGGGAAACCATAGAATGCCTGTGCTCTGTTTCTACCTGCTCCTGAACAGGTTGAACGTGGACTGCGGTCATTGCTGTTCTTTTAGCAGTTTGCTCTACAACACTTGGAGCTGGTTCTCTCACCATGGCTTGATCCACAGCAGCAACAACCGTAGCAACAGCTGCTGTTTTTTCACTGTCCTTTCTCACCTATATTAGTCACATCAAAAGACGTTTTTTTATGTTTTGCATACACTCTGAAGAAGCACAAAAATCAAGTACAGAGAATGTTGCAAAGAAGCATTTAAATATTTGCAGCAGAACTGTCAACAGCAGGTACACACACGTTTTTATACACAGCCTTCTATTTAGCAGATCTATTCAGCAGTGGAAAGTCCACACATAGAACAAATCCAACGCTGTTTCAAAAGATAGACTTTACCTCTCTAGCACCAGCCGCAACCTCACCACTAGTGGTAACTTCTTCTTGGACCCCGTATCTCCCTTCCCATCTTTCTTCAGTTCTTATTTGGGTAGCACTTGTAGATACTCTTGTTTCCTTCATCTGGGCTTCTGTGGTTGCAGTATATCCTTCCTGCTTCCAAGGAGGAAGGACTTCAGCCCCAGCTGTTGTCACTACATGTGTTTTACGGATTGGAGATGGAGATTTCACTGGTCTAATAGGCGAGGTGGAGATTCTTCCAGCAGGAGAAACTGACCTAATATAAAAATAAAGTATTAATGTAATTAATGTAGTGTCATACAACAGTTATACAAATAATTTCAGCCTGAATTTGAATTCACCCTCCATTTAGGATATCTTCACTAGTTTGATTTTACAAAAGTTTTTGAGGTGTTCTACTTGCAAATTACACTTATATGATTTTAACATTATGCTTAATGTGTGTTTCTGTCATACTCATAACTGTAACACATCTTCATAGTAGCTTAGTTACGTTCCCGAAAAGAAATAAGGGCAAATTTGAAGGGCATTTCGCTCAAGTACACATATTTTTTATATACATATATATAAAAAAAAATATTAGTTTCCATTTGCTCTATTCTAATTCTTCTAATAGGAATAAAACAAATGGCTTACAGACTGTGAGTATTACATATTACATTTGTGGTCCAGTCTCTGTAGAGAGACAAAATGATTAGAGTAACTGCTTTTTGTAAAAAAAACCACCTAGCAACAACATAACCTTACGTACTGCTGCACCACATCTCATTTCTATGTGTCATCCATTCATGTGTTCAGACTGCAAGCAAGATTCTGATCTATATTTTTTCCCATACTTACATTTAAAATTTCTCCAACAATAACTGGCAGCCACTTAGAAAGTGCTAGTTTCTCAATTTTGATATTCCAAAAAATTTGGTCCCAATCCTAATAGATAGTTTGAAAGCATTTTTCAAAATTATTTAATAATCTTTCTAACTTACATTTTCTTTGAGATGAATCCTTTTATACTGTATTTCCCAGAGAACATTAACATATTGCAGCAGTAGGGGGCAGCAGCATCATATTAATATTTGGATTTATTTTCTAATTTGTTGTACGTCTAAAAGTGGTTTGACAAGCAGTGGAGTACAAGCTTCTAGTTCCATACACACTCTAGATGGCACTATTGAATTATTCTTTCATCTATGCAGCTTGTTACATTTCCTCCTGTACTTGCAAGTTATTCTCAATGGGGCAAAGTTCACCAGCATACCTAACTCTGACAACTTAAATGGGGCTTTTCTGAGCACTCAGCTTGGAGACATTCCTTTCAGGGTGCTGAAACTGCAGGACTTCCAAAGCAGTTTTCTCCTTACCTGCTTTCTCAGCACACACCTCCTGGGGGTTCCCAGACCATGAGCCCTGCTCTTCATAGCACTCACTTTCCCTCTAAGACCCTTTACACAGCAGAGCTAAACATCAATTTTCCATAACTGTATTTACCTTGCCTACTTTAAAACATTAATTCTGCATACACATAGAATGTGTTCTTACCATTCTGCTTGCCACTCATCAGAGTGTCATTGTTCTTTTTCCTGTTCATTTAAAATAATCAAGGACCGACCGCTTTACTGTTTTCTTCTCTTTCACCATGAACTTGAAGCTTTGAGTGCTATTTGAGCTGTCTGTAGAGCAATCAAATTGAATTTACTCTCTAAAGGATTTTCTTCCGTATGGGATATATGCACACCCTTCTATTGCAGTGACAAATATAGCACATTATAGCTCACCATCAGAATAAACACAGTTAGTATTAAGGCAGTGCATTCTTTCATTTTACACTGTGTGATACTTTACAGTATTACTTCTGTGTGTTAAAGTTGATTCAAAAAGCAATCTTGTTTGAAAAACTTTACCTTACTGGTGAGGGTGTTGGTGCTCTGACATGTCTTACAGGTGATGGTGATTGTCTAACAGGTGATGGTGATTGCTGTCGTGCCATTTGTGCTTTTGCAGCAATTACTGGTGGGGTTGGTGATTTTGATGTAGGTCTAGGAATCATTCGTGGCGGTGCCTTATGTGGGAGCTGTTGGGCTGCCGCACCTTCTATGACCATTTCAATACTTGTAAGTGATCTGGCATCAAAGTGGGCTTCAGTCTTCTACAGCGAAATCAAGAAAACAAGTCTGAGGTACTGTAGAAGTCATCACCCATATTTTAACCTTATCTGCTTTGTTTTTGAAAAACATACCTTTTCAATTCTGGCTTGTCTTGTTTGTGAAATCTGAGCAGTCGAAACAATTGTCTTTGTCTTTTTAGCAGGAACGGCTTCTTCCTCGCCTTTTGGAAGAGAAAACATGGTCAGGAGAATTGCAGATGGCAAGAAACAACAAGCAGTTGCAGAAATAAATGAATGATCAATTTCATTTGTATACAAATTTATATAAACAACAGAGAAAATAATTGAGCAACCATGTGTTTTTCCTGCAGTATCTATAGACAGATAATTATGAAAACAGTTGTAATAATATTTCTGCATTACTCTGTCATTAGAAAAACAAACAAATAAACAAAACAAATCAAAACAGTCCTGGATCTCAGATAACTACACATTCTGGAAGCCTGACTGAGTTGAAATCCAAGCAAGACTGCTCTGGGTAGAATGATTCACTGCTACAATTCTCTAAGAACTGTCTTCATCCTTACCAGCCTCATTTACAAGACCATGTACAGTTATGCAGTCTAATATATATCTATTCTATCAAAGCCAGCTTACAAATACAGCTTTGAGAAATCTACAGAACAAAATGAGAACAACTGAAAGTATCCTCAGTGGAGCATCCTACCCACTGAATCCTCAGTTTAAAGACGACCCATTCTGGAGAAAAGCTCCTTTTAAATTCTCAGACAAAAATGTCACCAAAACATTTTTTCACAGCAAGTTAATAACTCTTGAGAAAGAAGTTATGAATTATCATGTTGATATAACTTTGATGAAGTGGTGCATATTGTACATTAAAACAATGAATGATCTCTTATTTTCATCACTTGCAACTCCACCTCCGTTACCTTGAATTAGCAATTCAGCTGTTGAAGTAGCACGTCCCACATTATTTGTGGCATTTACTGAATAGGTACCGGAGTCTTCAGGATATGCTTCTGCAATTATTAAGCTGTAAAGGTCTCCTTCTTGAATAATTTGAAAATCGGGGGAGCTTTGGATTTCTACTCCATCCCGATAAAACTTCACCACAGGTGTAGGGATTCCAGTCACTCTCACATCAAGTCGAACTTGACTTCCCTGTCTTGCAGTCATGCTCTGTAGTCGTTGTGAAAAGTTTGGTGGTGCTGTTCCAGCTACAGTTTTATTGAAGAAATAAATAGAAAAGCAATAACGTCTGTTAAAAAGAACTTTATGGGCTAGATATTTTCATTGGTAGAATTGCATAAAGTCTCTTTCCC